AGGTGGCCGCGAAGCGGCCACCGACTCACCACCACCTCAGGCGAGCGCAGCGAGCCATTTCCTGATCGCGCCGCAAGCGCTCCGTATGGAGAAAGTGAGCGAGCTGTTGGACCGCAGGCAGTTGCTGAAAAGCATTAGGCGCAATGGTGGGCCGAAGATGTTCCATAAGGTCTCGGCAAAGGCGGTTGGGGGGAAGTGGTGGGGAGTTGGTGGCCACCGCCTCAGGTGAGCCGGCGAGCGATTACCTGGTCGCGCCGCAGGCGGTAGGCGATGGGAGGAAGTGAGCGAGGGCGAGCTGTGCGCCCAGTGCAGAGCAGGCTGGCTCGTCTCGCCTACCACGCACGTCCGCGATATTGGCGGCGCCTTACCGAAAGCAGATGTTTTGCACGCGATGACTTCATTTCTTGTTGCGTCTATAGCAGGCTTGTGGCGCAAATGCATGAAGCAACAACGGCCTGTCGCAAACAGTTGAGCCACTATGAACTATGCATTGCTGGCGATCAATTACAAGGTGAGTGGTGATGGGCTGTGCACCGCCACAGTGTTTGGACGTGCCACAGGTTTGTACGACGCCAATTGTTGCAGCTCTTCCCAATGTGGTTATGCGAGGCGCCGCTAAGAAAACACTGGCATCTGACGAGTGTTTGATCCACCGATAGCATGGAGTTTTCCAAGGCGGCCTCTGTCGTGTCACTGGTCAACTGTCTGCTAACGGGACCCAGGTTGTTGTGTTGTTCCTGACAAAAGTGCCTGGGTCCCAAGCCTTCATGTCTCGAGTCCCATTTCTTCGGTCTGCTGTGCACTGAGACTCACTACTGACTTGGCCAGCAGGTGGCGGGCGCATGCTCATCGGCAACAACGTCGACATGCTGCATGTCTTGCTAGGAGCACTGCTCATAATCGCAGTCCGTGGACAAGGTCTGTTACCTAGATTCAGCAAATCCACCGTTCAGTACTGACCTCATCTTCAGATGGCTGTGAAGACAGAGACTACAAATCGGAGATCGGCCTAGACTTCCGCATAACCTGCACGAGCAACGCTCCAGGGAACGACATCAGGAACAACCCGGCGTCAAGCCTCGAGTCGTGCATCGACCAATGTGCGGTAGCTCTTGGTGACAGCAACTCCGACGTTGCCTGTCGAGCTGTCTCATATAATGTCGAGACAAAGCAATGTTATCGCAAAGATGGCAATGTGACCTCTAATTTTGTCTTCGAGGCAGATACCATCACCGCCATAGGAGACGCCGCGCCCTTTCAACTGGACGCGAGCAGCTCCCCATGTCCCGATGGGAACGGAACGGTCCATACCGACGACAATGGCATGGACTATTCAGTCATTTGCGGCACATTCTGGAGCGGCAACAATTTCGATCCGGGCGATGAAGGCGAAGGTGCGTACCAGCCATTCCATGCCGATACTCTCAACGACTGCATGAGCTATTGCTCAGCGAATGCTCCGCTATGCTATGGGGTGCGCTGGGAACAGTCAGCGACGAACTTCTATCGCAACTGCTGGCCGAAGAAACAGAACGCGACCCACGCAGACAGTAAGCTTGCTCCTGACTCGTTCGCGATCGCTGCGGTTGGGCGTCTGCAGGTCAACAGCACCTGTACTGGCTCGGACAAGAATTTCACCGCCAGCAACGGCGCAACTCTGAAGCAGTTGTGCGACAGCAGTGCTGACGGTCCGGATCTTGAGGTCGTCCACGCTGGGAACTATGAAGACTGTATGGACAAATGCGCCACTTACAAGAGCAACGATGGCGGCAATACATATTGTGGAGGCATCACATACCAGCCAGATGCATCACAGGGTTTCCGCAATTGTTACCTCAAATATGCGCTCAGCAATGTCACCGCCATGCCCAGTTGGCACATAGCGACGCTCGAGACGAGAGGCGGTGAGCAGGATGATGCGGCTGGTGGTCAAAGCCAAGGCGAGGGAACCACTCAGAACAACCAAGAGAACGGCTCTGCGTCTCAAGGCAACGAGGCACCGGCCCAAGAAGAAGAGGGCTCAAGTAAGACTTGGATCGCTGGGGCTGTCGCTGGTCCAGTGGTAGGTCTAGCTGCTATTGCCGGACTGGTCTTCTGGTACCACCGACGGAAAAAGGCGAGAGCACCGGCGTCAAATCATCAAGACCACACCGACCACAAGCCGAACGCTGCCGACACATATCCTCTCAACGCTGGTGCGAAATACTACAGTCCGCCCATGGATCATGGGTATAAGTATGACCCAGCAGCCATAACGCCGCCACCTCCGTTCAGCCCTTATGTCGATCGATCGCCGCTGGTAGAGATGCCGCAGGCCGGAAGACATGTGGTGGAGCTGCCAACGGCTAGCAATGTAAGGCATGAGCTGCACTCTTGAGAGTCTCTCACGGCCGTGAGACTGGCGCCCCTGGCGTCATTGTGCGACTTCGTTGCATGTACAGCATGCGAGATGGGTTCGGACCATAGCTCCTGCGACCAGCAGAAGCCTGCGCAGTCTCTCTGCATACGCATCTCACTTTTCCAATTGCGGCATCGCCTTTCGCGCCATGTCGCAGATTGGTATGTAACAAGTCCAATAACGGCCCTGAGATCTGAACGGGCATGAGACTCAATGACAAAGCGGTCGAAGAGAGTTCAATGGTGCCTTCCGCGGAAGCGCCAAGAACCGTGCTTGGTCAAGCCTTGGCACTGGGATGGCGAATGGTTGGGGGAGGCACATTTAATTCAGGTGGCAGTCTCGCTGTTGGATCATTGCCGATGGATCAATTTCTGACGAGATCATACTGGTGCATGGTCGAGGCTTCGGGCAACGGAAGCAGAACTAGTCCGCCGCTTACAGCATCGACACTCACAGCAGATGATCGAATCCTCCTCTCGACCTACATAAGGACGTGATGTCGATTCATTGTAACTCCAGTCATAGCATCTGGAAAGACTAGCGAGATCAGCGACATCAGCGACATCGCAGTTCATTATGGGAGCTTATACCGAGCCTTACGCCGGCAACGGCTTCTGGAAGTCCTTCACCAAGACCTGGCACAACAAGCCCTACAACGCAATCTCACCCAGCAACCCTTCGAACTCCGCGTCCGGCAAAGCCATCTTCATCACCGGCGGCGGCAGCGGCATCGGCAAAGCCACCGCCCTCGCCTTCGCCCAAGCCGGCGCCGCATCCATCGCCATCTTCGGCCGCCGCGTCGAGCGCCTGGAATCCGCCGCTGCCGAGATCCGCAACGCTAACCCTGCGACCAAAGTCGCCACCGTCGGCGTCACATCGGCGACGGCGCCGCCGTGATTGCCGCCTTCACCAACGCCCTCATCGAACTCGAGGCGACCAGAGTCGACGTCTTCGTCAGCAACGCCTTCAGCATGCCCTTCCAAGGTAAGCTCGTCGACACCCAGCCCGAGCATTTCCGCCAGGGTCTCGACTTGAACCTGATGGGCACCTTCAACGCCGTCCAGGCGATCTTGCCGCTGTTGGCGCCGACGGCGACGGTCGTGGATGTCAATTCTGGGATCGGCCATTTGGGACCCATACCGGGTGTGCCGCTGTATGCTATGCAGAAGGCGGCGAATATCAAACTGTTTGAGTATTTGCAAGCGGAGAAGGGGGAGATGAGGGTGTTTAGTATTCAGCCGGGGGTGATTGCGACGGAGATCAGTTCTGTGGAGGAGAGTCAGGATGATGGTATGTTTCTTCTCAAGCCCTCTTTGCGCAAATGGGCGATCACTGACTCGATCGATCGTGTAGTGATGCTGCCAGCTAGCTTCCAAGTCTGGCTCGCCGCTGGCACGCAAGCGGACTTCCTCAAGGGCAGGTTTCTCTGGGTGAACTGGGACGTTGAGGAACTGCAGGCCCGGAAAGGGGAGATTGAGGGGTCGTTGCTGTTGAAGGTGCAGTTGACGGGTGTGCCGATGGAGACTACGTTCGCGCTGTGATATGTGCAGGAATACATGATCTGAACAATGGGCAATTTGGAGCTGCGAATGAAGGATGAGAAAAGCGAGAAGCGTGGAATGATAGAAAAAGGGACTGCAGTTCCTATATACGGTCTGTTGCCAACGACAATGGTATCTCAAGTTGCTGAACAAAACGAAAAAGCAGACGCAGCCACACCAAATCCTTCGTATCCTCTCCCAAAACCATTACTGCTTCCTCTCCCCAGCTCTCCTCACACTTCCATTAGCCGTTCCACTACTTCCACGCTTCGCATGCCGCTCTCTCGACCCAGTCTTACTTGTCGGTGGACTCGGCCACCCGCCCCTCCTAATCTTCTTGTCGACCAACTCGTCCTCACTCTTCTCGCCCAGCAAAATCTCCACAGCCTCATCCCATCCTCTGCCCTCGACTATCTCAAGAACAGTACGTCCAGTCTCATCCTCCACCTCAAGATCCACACCCCCACCCTTCTCAACCAACATCCTCAACACACTCGCCTCAGCATTTTCCACCGCTTGCAACACGGCGTTCCAGCACGATACATCTTGTTGATATCCGCGCCTTTTTCTAACAACGCCTCGATATAGCTCAAATCGTTCCCGCGGTGCCGTCGGATCGCTTTGATGATCGGCAAGTGCTCACCGGGCGCATTCACATCCGCTCCACCCTCATCAATCAAGTACCGAAAGATCTCCTTCCGATCCTCGCGGATCGACGTGGTCAGCGGGCTAAACACCCCACCATTCTTATCCTCCACGCTCACCCCCGCCGCAAGCAGCAATTTGATGGATTCCAACTGGTCCGCCACGACCGCCATCTCAAGCACCCCCTTCACCGCCCCACTTGGGTTCTTGAGGTGGCCGAGCAGTTTGGCGAGCAAGTCAGGCCGTTTAACCGCCATGCAGATCGGCCATTCCTGGCCGCGCAAGCTGGGGTCGGCGCCGCGCTCGAGGAGGATATCCAGCATTTCGGACCGGTTCTCGCGGATTGCGGTGGTGAGGGGCGTGTAGCCTTCGGCGGAGCGCGCGTTCGGGCTAACGTCGTGCTCGAGGAGGAAGAGGAGGGCTTCTTTGTTGTTGTGCTTTACTGCTTTTTCCAAAATGCCTTTGGGGTGGTGCAGGTCGGCGCCCGCCTCGATGAGTTCGGGGAGGAAATGGCAGCGGTTGTGCGTTACGCACTTGAAGGCTGGGTATTCGGATGCGGGGACGTTGGCGTCGGCGCCGGAGGCGAGGAGGAGGGAGACGATTTGCGGGCGGTTGTCGCGGATCGCGGAGCAGAGAGGGGTGTAGGTGCCGTCTTTTTTCGCGTTGGGGTCGACGCCGGCTTTGAGGAGAATGGAGATGGACTCGATGTTGTTGATGGATGTGGCGAGCTCCATTATGCCGGAGCATTTCTTGTGGTCGGCGCCGCGGGAGAGGAGGAGGCTGAGGCATCGGGGTTTGTAGGTTGAGGGCCACAGGAGATGTTTGGGGCCTGGGAGGTTCGGGTCGGCGCCGTTGTCGAGGAGGACGGTCATTAGGTCGACGCGGTTGTGTTGGATTGCCTGGAAGAGGGCGGTGGTGCCCTCGCCGTTCTTGCCGTTCGGGTCCGCGCCGTAGCGGATCATCAGCTCGACGATCTTGGTGGGTTGTTGTTTCGTCATGGACTTCACGAAGACGGTGTTGCCGTTGTCCATGATCTCGTTGACGTCGGCGCCGTATTTGAGGAAGAGCTGGAGAGACTCGGCGCGGTTGCCGATGACGGCCATGGCGGTGGGTGACTCTTCGGCGCCGCCGCAGAGGTTGGGCTGAGCGCCGTACTTGAGGAGAGTGTTGGCGGCTTCGAGGAAGCAGAGCTCTGTTGCGGCGTGGAGAGGCGTGTAGCCATTCCGGTCGACGCCGTTCGGGTCGGCTCCATACGCAAGGAGAAGGCGCATACATGCGGCGTCGCGGTTGAGGATTGCTTCGCGTAGGACGTTATATTCTTGGCCGACATCTGGTTTGACCCCGCAATCGAGGAGTTGCTCGACTACGTCGTGTTTCTTTTGCTGTACTGCGCTGTTCAGGGTGTGCTTCAGTCCGGGCGAATTCGCTCCAGAGTTCGTCTTTGGCTTGTATCGAGGTGCGCTGCTCGGATCTGCTTTGAGCCGTACCAGCACGAACGATGACTTGTCTTCATCGAGCTGCGATAGCATCTCGTCGAGATCGACAGTGGTCTGGGACATAGTGTCCGACATGACGTCGCTTTGACGCATTGTGGACCGGCCGATAGTGTGCTGTGCAGTGCTCGATCGCACACTGGGGACGAACTTCAGCGTCTGCTGATCGAACTGATCTGCTAGCGTGTCCATGCTCTCGTCTCCACCAGCAATATAAGTTCCACCATGATGGGGTTCACTACCAGGCGGAGTCAGAGGCATCGATAACAGATCGCTCCCGGTCCTGTCAGAGGACGTGCTCGGGATGTGAGGCAGCTGATAGGAGTCCGATCGTGGATTGAAGGACAGGGATGATGTAGTGCCTGGTGTCGGCGGCAGTGGCAGAGCATAATTTGGTGGTGGATGTGGTGGTGCTGATGCCGTGGTTGTAGGCGCTGGTCGCACAACGGACTGATTACTGCCACGCTTCATGCTTTCCAGGGCAGCTTCCAGCCCGGTGTAGCCGATGTGAGTGTGGCCGTTGGCTTTGCCCTCGCCCAGCGACCACCGAAAGACAAGTGCGCTCATCCTCAAAGCATCCCTATTCTTGGCAAGAGATTCTCGCATCTTGTTGATTTCGCCTTCAGCGAACATTAGGTGCCATCCACGCCGCAGCCTGCCAAGCCCTTTCTTCTGGTCGTCGCCGAGGAATTGCAGCAGTAGCTGATTCAGCACAATGAAGTCGTCGATTGTAGCACGGAACTTCCGTTCCATCTCTTGAGTCATGTCTGTCCCAAAGTTGTTCCGCATGCGCGCTGCTTCTGTGAGGCCTGCTTCGATCGGCCATAGTATTCGACAGATTTCCAAGAAGTCCACTGCCAGCTCTTTGAAGCCGGGAGGATACTGCTTTGTCGAGCTCAGGTATTCCAGCATGCGCACGCTGATGCCATTGCCAAGTTCTGTCGCTCTTGTGCAGAGCTCAATAAGAGTCTCTTTGCCGGGCTTCGGCGCCATGTCGACGTCTCTGTGAGACCAGCTCTCAGAGGACGAGTCTGTTGATTAGTGGTACAAGCGCTCGAGGTCAAGAAAGCACAACGTTGGAAGAAGCAGTGACAGAAGCAAAGTGGCTGAAGGCATATGCGGAGCGGATATAGAACATGGTGACCATGGAACCATGCGGCTCTCCTGAAGGTACCGAGTGAAGTCTCGACCATCTTTCATGCATATTGGTACCCACCTCTCGCGTGCGCGAAGGAGACTTGCCAAACTTGGAGCCGCTCAAGGCGACTGAAATAGTGCTTCATGCAAATAGACTTTTCCGATAACCTGGTCGATGCAAGCAATGGTGCAACGTGCAACAGATAGTGGCCCACCTCAGGGATTGCGCCAGAAGGGCAGCCTGCACCCCCGTGGGGCCAAGGCAACAATGACAAAGCGACGGGAATCATCAGGTAGCGGTGAGTCGTCCTTGAGCACAGTGATGTGGTGGATTGCATCGCATGGTGTGCGATGTCGCGTCTCGCGGAAGATACATTGTTCGATATGGGTTCTGTTGTGCTGTGGCAGAGCATGGCGCATTGCTCATGGTCTAGATCTGCTGGCTTCGTTAATCTCTCGTCTCATAGCTCAAGCTGGGGCTGCGACTAGTGGCACAGCTTGGACGGAGGGACCGAAGCCGTGGGTCCTTCCAAGTGAACCAGTCGGTCTTCAGCCAGGGAAGGTCGACGGATAGGAGAGCTCAAGTTGTGCGCTTGGGCGACAGCGGCACAGTCGTCTCTGCCTCCGAGCCGCCGCGACATCGTGACAAAGTCTAAATGTCGCTAGTATGTGCTCCACCCTCAATGCACTACGGAGTAGCTTTCAGGCACAAAGCACTCGATCTGAATCTTCTTGAGAGTGGGTGAAATCCTCCGAGACAGCGTCGCTTTCAGGGATCATCGACGTCCTTCTGAAAATCAAGTGGCTTGTGCAGCGGGAGCAATCAGGGCGCCTTGAGTGTGGACGAGCACACTGCATTATTTCAACAAAGGGATACAGTGAAGACCATTCGGCTGACGGTCGTTGTAGAACCTGCGATATGCAAGAGTGTTCCCTGGAAAGTGCCGGCCGGCTGCGGGAATGCAATTGCTGTTCAGTGATAACGCTGTGATCTAAACAGCACAATCATTGCATGCCGGATGCCTGTGACCAGGGATATTTCGTAGAAGGTGGAATTTCGGCCCTGTGTTCCGGCGGGGTCGCTTGGCCCTCGATCCCAACCAATATTCGGGCACCAATCCAACACTAGTGGCTGGTGTCAATGCTGTGCTAGGACGTTGCAAGCGAAGAAATCTGTGTCCGAACGGCAGTGGCTTGCGTCCTGCACCTCAGCAATCGCTGAATGCGATGCCACGTTGAGATGTGCAGCAACAAAGGTCGTGCCTCGGCGGAAGGACTTTGATTGACTTTCTGGCACGGCGCCTGCCACGAGGTGAAGATCAAAGTTCGTCTGGAAGCCTTTCGAGTCTCGATCCGAACCTTGATGCGTCGACTGAGGCTTTCACAGTTGCGAACGGCGGCCGTACGGAGTGCGAATGGACGCCGTTGGAACGTGATTGAGCTCGACCTCGACCTCACTACGTCAAGATCCAGCAGGTAATGCGCATAGTGAGTAGACCATGATATACAGCGAGAAAGGGGAACCCAGGGCGATACAGGATCGCCTTGCTGTGCTCGAGTAAATTCTAGTTCCCTCCCGGATACCACTGCGACGGCACCCTATTATGGGCTCACAGTGTGCAGATGCTCCTATATACATCGGCGCACCAGACCGAAGATCTCGAAAATGTGTGTGAACGTCAATGTATGGTTTGGGCTGCAGGCGAGTCGCGTTCTGGTCGCACGAACATTGCACTGCTCGAAGTCTCGAAGCGCACCGTTGTGTCGCTGCAGCGTGCCCTTGCAGCTGTGCAAGTAGTGCGTAGGAAATTCACGTCAGCGACGACGCAAGAGCAATCATTCAAGCTAGATAAGGTAGTCGTCGGTAGTAGAGATTCACAAATTCCTCAAGTGGCAGGCACACGGTGATCCAAACGCGTCATGCCAAGAGCAACTTCTTGTCATCCGGCGTTCATTACCTTCCTCGGCTCTTTTGCTTCTGACTTCGCAAAGTCGATGAACCCGCTGGCACGTCGTGCCAAGTGCAGCCCTGCCGTACTGGTGTAGTTTGCCTCGAGGAACGGACTCGCACTTGGAGGGGTCACCGAACGCGTTCTTACAAGGGTTTTGATAGTCTCGTGCTCTGAGAATATACATGCTCTCATGTTGCTCTGTGTTGACGGAGGATGCGTTCCTCGTCATGAAACAGATAGCTTCCCGATTCTCTCGAAGGAGCGTCTCAGATAATGCGTTCTATAGCACACGGCGCTCGGACTTGGTCACGTGGCCGAGTTGAGTGGGGGAGGTAGCTGTGACTCAGGACCCACGGACTCAGCAGCGGAACTCGAGACGCACTCGTATCGATCTGCAGAGTCAAAGCAATCGCATTTAGACATCGCACTGTAGCGTCCGCCCAGAAGCCGGTTCCAAAACATGCCATGATTCATGGTCTTGAGCAGGCAATAGTTCGACAGGGCCTGCGTGATTTGGAAGCGTCGACTTGATCCCGGGTAGCCAGAAGCACTGGAACCATATAGTTCATGTCGTCTTAGGTCAAGATACGTTTCTCACACACTGCTGCACAGCCAGTCACGAGAGCAACCGTGAAGGTCTCCCGAGGACACTGAAACGCAAGCGCACTAATAACTCGCGATTTCCGGCAGCGGCAAGGGTCGTAGATCATAGCAGATTGATCTAGTATCCCCACAGGCTTGCGAGCTTTTGTGGTCGGATGTCAATCATAACATGTGCGTTGTATGCTTACACAAATGTGGCTATAGCACCATATCAACGCCACAGCTGACCTTGCGAGGGGCTCAACACCAAGACATCCATCCGCTGCCCTGAACGCGAGCCCGTGGACGCCACGCCATTGGCGCGCCCGCACTGATGGCGTCGATCTGAGGGCGCCGGACTGAAAGCGGAATGTATGGTACCTGAATGAGCATCAGCTGGTGCTCGTGCAAAACGCAATATGCGAATGTCTCGGTGCAACGACGCCGCTTAAGCAAGTGATCTATTTGTACAAGACAGGGGCTGTGCTCAAACAAGGGAGTCGTTCAACATCGGTGACAAAACGAGACACAAATCCAATCCGGCAGATGTGCGCCTGACACGCTCCTCCATGCTCTTTTTACAGGGGATACCACCGGTAGCTTCAGCCTCACGACATCTCCGCTCTTCCACACAAAGCAAGATGACGCATCGAAGAGCAAGCAGAAATGACTTACCATGGGCCAAGCACGAAGTTCGGCATCAGACGCGGCAATTCCTAGCTCCCAACCATGACCATATCGCGCCTCAACCTCTGCAGTTCTGCGGCACCCGTCCGTGCTTTGGCATCCTTCATCCGCTTCCTCAATGCCAGCGACGCGTTGCGAGCATTCTGCAGCCTTTTCTCCGCTTCCTCTGATCCGTCGAATATGCTGTCGAACAACTCGGCAAGGATCTTGTCACTGTCAGCCGGCCAAAAGGGCGTCAGCTTCTCTCGACCCATGCCCGAGACGTGTCGGTTCTCAGCGATCGTGCCAAGCGCAATGCCCAGATGCAGCATGACACGCGTGTCGATGAACTGGTCTGACATTACAGGGGTTGTAATGAACGACTGGCCTGCGTAAATGCCTTCCACCATGGTTCCGAAGCCGCCGTGGGAGAAGACACATTTCAGTGCAGGGTGCAGGAGCATTTCGAGCTGAGGCACCCATGGCGCGACAACGCCATCGGTGATTGAGTCGCCGCCGAGGAGAGAACGCATTTTGTCGGTGTCATTGCGGAATAGCAGGACCCATGGGACGTGATGCTTGCGGAGAGCGTCGATGATAGCTTTGGCTTGTTCGAATTCGAGCTCGATGTGGCTACCTGTGCCGACGTAAACGACAGATTTTTCAGGCTGGGCGTCCATGAATCGCATGCATTCATAGTCCTGCGAAGCCGCTGCCAGCTTCTCCGCTGTGCCGGATCGATTCTCGAGTGCTTCCTCGAACCACGGTGGCAAAAGCGGGCCGACCATGTACTCTGCTTTGTTGAGGTTGTTTGGAGCGATGAGAGTCTTCTGTTGGTAGTCGTCGCCGTCGAGACCAGTGTTAGTCTGGGAATAGATGACACCTGACACTGCATCCAGAGTTGGCTTGAACATCATGTAGTACATCTGCTGCGTGAGATCCAGCACGTCCCCCAGCTCGGCTTGCACAGGCTTAGTGCTTCCACCGATACCTCGCAACGCATACTTCTCGGTCAGAGAAGCACCTTCGCGGTGGCACGAGCCTAGGCGGCCCATGTAGTAAGCAGTCGGATTGAGGAGGAAAGTCTTCATGCTGTAGCGTTCAGCCACTCCGAGAAGCTTTCCCATCAAGCCATTGAAGATGAGTGCAACTCCCCGCGAGTCCGCTGATCTGGTAAGGATCTCTGCCACCTTTGCTTCGTTGCTCGCAGTGTACTCGTCGCTCATGATGGTTTGAACGAGCTCTCGTGCTCCAGGTGGATGCCAATCCTCCCATTTGCCATCGCCGATGACCTCGAGGTGCATGTACTGATTTGGAGCTTGACCTGTAGCGGCAATCCATGAGCCGGATTGCTTGATCGAGTGGACCAGTGTATGGACAGTGACTGTTGGTGACGCCAGGGCCAGGGCGATATTCATCATGTTGACGCCATGACCGGCGCCTGGAAATGGAATGCAGAAAACATGGTGCTTGGACGCCATGATTGCTGTGAGAGTCGAAGTGTGCAGTTGCCAGGTCGAATACATAACATTATGGTCAGGCGTCCTGGTATTAGTATCTCGGAGCCATTTCTAAAGGCACATGCATTATGTCTCCGAGGTCAGCACTTCCAACGTCGTGACCTCGTAGGCCTTTATATATTGAGCTGATGTCAAGCGTATTGATTGATGCCGCAACCAAGCCATCGCGTCCGGTTGATCTAGCATACACAAGGCAGGACTTAGCTTACAATGTGATTCGCTGGCTCATCGACACGACAAGTGACTATTTCCGTCCGTGGTAGGGCGGAGATAGGGTCTGCCGATGTTCGATGGGACAGGTCTTAGCAGGCGACGGGAGACCCACAAAAGTGACCGTTGCCGGTGTCATCGATTGCTGCCGCGCCTGGATCGCTGTACGCGACGACTGAGTCGAGGATGACAGTTCTGATGAAACAGGTGCTTGGATCGAGTTGATAACCACAAATGCGAGAGCGAGACGCAGCGGTGATCAGTCAGCGACTGCCAAGGAAAGCTGGACGGCAGCTGCGCGCGCTCCGGGCGGGCCCTGGGGCGAAAGGTTGGGCTCTCTGTGCAAATCTCTGCTCCAAGCGGATTTTCCGCGCGAGTAAATTACTCGTCCGAGTTATCCCTCTTAGATGTGATCACTTGATTAATTCTACCCTACATGTATGAGGTCTAGCTCGCTCTTCAACTGTATGGTCGTAACTTATTTATACGCGCGAGCCCACTGTCGCGGCTGCCCTCGCTGTAGCGAGTATTTCCTGGACGTGATCATCTTATCGCCTTTGCGATAATACCTCGGTCACGCAGCGCGTTGTTCAGACAATTCACAGACAGTGCTCAACTAGCTGATGAGCCATGCCGGGCAGGCTTGTCTGAGCTTTCGGTACGATTTGTAATCGAGTCGTTGTTGCTGATGTGGCTTGGTGCGACGGTTGTGATAGAAGCGCGTCTGCTGGACGATTCCCGCATGAACTTCGCACAGACATCTCTACGATGTGCGCCACGAAGCAATGAGAGTTGAGCTGTCGCCACCTTCCGACATCGCGATCAAGAGTCACTGGCGTCCCCTACCATGGCGCCGTGGAAGCGCGTTCTGGCTCAGCCACTAGAGGCAGCAAAATCTCCACTGACGAAGACTACCAGTACCGCCGCATAGGCTGCGCACGCGCCGAATATCTCAGCGCGCCGGGCGTTGGTGGTAAAGGCGATCGCCAGTGCAAACAGAATCGTGAATAGTGCGATCAAACCCATTACCAGGCCTGGCTTCTCGCGTGAGACATTATACAACACGTATATCGGGACGAACAGTAAGATGGCCGCGAGTAACGTCGTAATGAACGACGTTGTGAACGACAGGCTGCGTGACGAGTACTGCCGCATCTGAGCTCGGACTGGATGTGTGATCCTGGGTAGCTCGTTGTATTGTGGCAACGCCGGCGGCTGTTTGGTACGGAACAAGCAAGAGAGGTATCGCTTGAACGAAGTAGTCAATAGATCCGGTTCTTGGTGAGGGCCCAGCGAAACCAGATCCGTCGCTGGGATTTGCGATGAGGTCAAATCCAAGGGGTATAGGGAAGCACTCGCCCCAGTCAGCATCGGATGCGCGGTACCCGAGCCTGAGCGACCGTGATAGTGGTTTGCGAACGCAGTCAGTGTCTGTTTCGTTGGTTGGTGAAGGGCTAGAATGGCGTTCTCCTGTAGTTTAGCCTCTCGGTAAGCTTTCAGGACCTCACGAATGTCCATGGCAAGCTTGTATCGCTTTTGCCATCTGTCATCGACAGAAGAGCTGCTTGAGGTCGATTGCTGTGCTGAGATCAGCGACTGAGCTATGCAGTCGCCCTGAAAGGTCGACCAATCTTGGCTATGCTCCCGGACATCTAGGGCGGTCTTCTCATCCTCCGAATTCCGAGCATCTTCGAGATCATATTGTTGCTGAAGTGCGGCAAGCTCAGCAAGCTCACTTTGGTAGTACAGTAGATTTCGTGCTGCTAGATCGTCGAATCGCTTGTAGATTGCTGTGCTGTGATCTTCATCACTGGCGATAAAGCTGGCTAAGGAGCCGAAGCCATGGACGAAAGTATGGCTGACGTCATTCGGATTATGCATATTCCCGGAACGCTTCAACCTTTCAATTCAACGGCTTGTTCAATCTGAGGGCGACAACGACACGATCAAGTGTCTGTCTGGTAGCAAGCTAGCAGGATCACGCGGGCCCTACGCACACTCGCGTTGATGCCCGACGACCTCGTACTTATGGCAAGATGGCGTCCTGTCATTGGTGCCCAAAAACGCCTCTCTGCCCTTTTCCTGGATCTGCCTTGCGCCCCGCCAACTGCGCCTCGAACATGTGATGGTGTGTTCTGACCGCATGTCTGCGCTCGCAGGATATTTCTTCTGACTTTTGGGCTTCTCATTATCGTTAAAGTACAGCGAGGGAGTGAGGCCTGTCCCAGTGCACCTCCGAAATCTATCCGCTTCAGGATTGAGGGCGGCGGCATCGCTGTGAATGGACCTGCTGTGCAAGCCGGAAGAAACATCTCGGCTGTATCTGATCTATCAATCCTGCGCATGTGTTGCGGCCGACACTGTCGTCGAACGCTGGCCAGCCCTTCAGTAGAGTACTGTGTTACTAGCGCTTCACGCTGGGTACGCCCGGGAGCAAGACATGATACACACCAGCCCGTCGCCAGCTGTCGCTCAGCGGACCAACGCCTTCCAGCCCGACGCGTACACTTGGGCCTTCGTGCCGCATCTAATCATCGGCTCCAACGACCACGCCTCCAGATGGAGTCCATGGAAGAGTCGACTTTTCATGGGCAGGATGCTGGAGATGGCTGACATACCATCTTCGGCCTGCAAGGATTTTGCGTCAATATATGCATATCTGCAAGACGAAACGGAGCTTCTCGAACTTCTCAGGCAGGTGTGGCGTATGTGCACGCTGGATCAGTATAAAGATGAGCATGCACAGATGTGCTCGGTACTTGAGTGGCTGAACGAGGAGCCCAGCATCCGTGACCTGGATCGCCTCATTCGGTATATCAAGCAGTACATCCGCACATGCAAGGAGGATCAAGAGTGGTGGGCTCGTTGTAAGCATTCCGCAGTCATTGAACCCTGGATACTTAGGAGCATGTTGTGGGGGAAAGACAGTTTCATACGTGAGCTGTGTTTTCTCCCCCTCGGAAAGCCGCTGTTGCTAGGTGTGCCTGCTAGCCCTCGTCCCAAAACAATCACTTCACTGTTAAAGGATGACTGCGCGAAGTCTAGCCGGTCTTATATCGAATTAAAAACCGATGGTGTTGCTGTCAACGCGCTCTCAGACACTGGGGTGGGCAGAAACATCATGAGTCTGGACCATGCTCAGAAGTGCGGCGCGTCGATAGACTCATCCTCCGAGAAACAGCACACGCTGTCCAATGCGGTCGGCCAAGAGTTCCGCTGTATCGGCGAAGCAACCGTGAGGGTGGCATTTCCAGATCGGCTCACACCCGCAAGGAACGTGGTCTTTTCAATTCTTGAGATTTGCTCCGAGCCTCTGGTTATGGGCCGAGCATTCCTGAAGACTACTTCCTGCCTCACGCGCTTCCGACATCGCCTGATAAAAGTTGCACGGAGTGCAGCTCAGTCTCTGTCTCGCGTTATGCATATGGACTCGTCCAGCGAGAGACTTTCCTGCCAGGTCAGCGCGCAACGCGTGGCTGCATACGCTGACACAGGGTCTGATGTCGATCTTGTATCTCTACAATACGCATCAGAGCACATGTGGGGCATTATTCGAAATCCAGGCGAGTCTGATCGTGTTACTTTATCCGATGGTTCTGTGCACGAACTTGAGGGATATGTAGACCTGCCAATCACCATTGGGGCCGAGACTTCAATGCGACGATTCTACGTCTTAGCCGGACTTGTCTACGATGTCCTTCTCGGGGCCGAAGTTCTGGACCAATTCGACATTTGGAATGAGCACACCGATAGTCTCATTCAGATTGAAGCCTTCGAACGCAACGAGTATTGCAACATCGCATGGTACAAACGTTTCGATCAGGTGGAGAAAGAGGTGGATGACATGATCAAGGGTACATTTACGCCAGTCAAGCAAAGGACACGACTCACGAGTTTCAAGGCGATGTTCGGACGTGGTGGGAACGACGCCAGAGGTGCTCGAACGCAGCACGCACTCGCGCAACGACTTTACGAGATCGATAACATCGAGAAATGCGAACGCCCCCTCGCGCAGGAACGCATTGCCGGCGCGGTCGGTGATGCGAAGGTGGCTGAAGTCAACTCAGACGAGGACCGACAACAGCGCTGGCTTACGCTGCGAACGAAGATCGTCAGCCTGCAGAAGAGAGTACAAGCTGATGGTACTCTGGCGCCTGGTAGCTAGGTTGTGTCCTTTTTAAGAGTCAGTCGTTCTATTCGGGATGTCAAGCAGTGGACTATGGGAGCCTGCGCACGTTGCGGGTGTCAGCGAAGATACCGATCAGTCACACCTTCTTTCTTTCCACGGTATAATGAACCCGCACTGCATCCGTCGCAAAGTCCCCATATACCCGCTGCCATGCAATGCTTTCCCTCACGGCTTAACGTCCAAGCATTTTCTACCTCTTCTCTTCCTTCCCCGTGCTCATCCGTGCCTTCCAGCACGACTGTCCTGGAGTTTTGAACAGCCATGTGCACGCTGATCGTGTTGAACACGCCACGACAGTGGACATCTCTTGCGCAAAGACTATGTACGAGTGTCGAGCCTTTCTAGAGAACATGATGCAAGCTGTGAGGATACCAGAGTGGTGGGCGTGGATTGCGGCCGCATGCCATCGATGCCAAGGTCCGCCTCTTGCAGCTGACTCAGTCCCTACGATAGTGAGTATCTCTTGAGCAGTGGGTTGCAAGACAGGACTGAATGTACAATCATCTGCACAAACGAATCCAGGTTGGGCTTATAGCGCAGACGCCTAGCAAGGCAGCTGAGCTAAGGTAAGCTTCTCGTACAGGCCCGCATCACCGCTTCTAGTATGGCTGCCGATCTGAAGCATACAAATGCGACGATAGCGTCACAGCGCGCAGTCCGCTTCGGGAATAATGCGAAGACGAGACCTCGCAAGGCACGTAAGGCCGTCATCGAACCCAACAGCTACAGCAAGGCAAACGACTTGATCAATGGGTTCACGGCCGCGACTGTTTGGGTTTGCCCTGTACGTCAGGCATGCCATCAGGAATCAGGTGGAGCCACATGCCTCGTTTGGTTCACGTCTCACCATGATATATCTCGAGGACAACCCCATCTAGGTGATGGGCATGCAAGACACCAAGATCTCGCGCAGACGTTGAGGAGTCGTTGGCCCGCCAACCCAAAATCGATAAGATGCCTCTCAATATGTGAGTCACCTCGCACAGATGACTGTACAGTCTCTTAGAGTAGCGCCAACTCAAGCTCTGGACAATGCTGACTACAATAAAGTGTCGTAGTAGGCAGCGGCATCGGCGGCCTCGCCTGCGGTATTGCCTTAACAGCCAAGGGCCACAATGTCACCATCCTGGAAGCCACCAAGCAGATGCAAGCCATCGGCGGGATCATCGTCTGCTTCGCCAATACTGGTCGCGTTCTGGATCAATGGGGAGTCTATGGATCGCTCCTCAAGATCTGTCGAGATAGACCTTTCCGGGGCTCTTTCAAGGATCGGCATGGCAATCAGGTCGCGAGGGGGCCGAATGCGGCTATGGATGAGACCTACGGCTACAAGTATGGCAGTCCGGGAGTGTGGTACTCGTGCTGACGTAAATAGGATGTGGACTCTGCATAGAGCCGACTACCACAGAGTGCTCTACGAGGCTGCGCTCGAACGAGGCGTCAAGGTACGGGTAGGGTGTCCGGTCGTCTCTGTCGACGAGACTGTTCCTTCGGTCACAATCAAGGGCGGCGAGGTCGTTAAGGCTGATCTGATCGTTGGAGTCGATGGCACCAAGTCAGTCGTTCGTGATGCGATCAACACGCCGGAGCAGCGAGGCGTTGTCGATACTGGGCGAGACGTTACCCGATTCAATCTCCCTTTCAAATTCCTCGAAGAAGATGAAGATCTAGCTTTTCTCAATGAACACTACTCGCTCTGGGGTGGTCCAGAATTAGGTATCGCTCAGGTACCGATGCTGCACCAAGGCGAGTGGTGGAATGGCTTCGATTTCCACCATCCACGATGGCAGCATTCTCGACCCGAGCGTGCGGTTCCGATGTCGTTGCCTGAGCTCAGAGACTGGTACAAGGATTGGAACCCACTGGTGCAGAAGCTCTTCGACTTCTGCGAAGACACCGCGGCGAAAGCGAAACCTCAAACCAATGGTGCAAGCAACGGTGACAACAGCAATATTTTCCCTGGGAATGCCGCATTTGATCGTCTCGAGTCATCCCCGCGGCCTAAATACCCTATACATGTCTGGCAAATGCCCGAGACTCTTCCCGAGAAATGGGCGTCCGGTCATGTGGCGCTCGTGGGCGATGCTGCGCATTCGATGCTTCCATGGGCTGGTCAAGGGAGCGGTATGGCTTTAGAAGACGCCGCTACCTTGGCTGAGTGCCTCGAGCGGTACGATCCTTCGAATGACTCTGGTCCAAAGATCCCCGAATTGCTTTGCCAGTATCAAGATCTCCGAAAACCACGTTGCAAATTAGTACAGAGCTCTGCTCACGACCGTGCGATCGACATGATGCTTCCTGATGGGCCAGCTCAGGAGTCGCGCAACAAGAAGATGAAGGAGAACTGGGCCAAGCTTGAGCAGAATCTGGCGAGATTCGCGGCCTCGAAGGCCAATGCGTCTTTCGTCAAACCCACGTCGGAATACGCAGGCGCGAACTGGGATCCAGAGGTTGTTGACAAGCTACCTTCAGTGAATCAAGGGCCAGAATACCTTCTGTGGCAGGACGGGTTTGACGCTATAGGCTTTGTAAGTTTCCTGCCATTCTTGAGGTCTTCATTGAGCGAGCTGACACTAATCGATCAGGCAAAGCGAAGGCTCGACGAGATATATGGTCCGAAGCCAGTAATTTACCGGTTAGAAGATCATGTTGAGGCATGAGAGACACAACACGTCAAATCATTATGTCCAAATCAAGGACATTCGCTGCATGACCGTTGACCAGTCCACATTGGTCCCCAGATGCAGTCGCCGGAAATTCGACTGTCAGAGACCACACTTCGCTCGAATGTGACGGTGCCGGACAGCCCTGCGAAAGAAATTGAGCAGGAAGAGAGCAATGTAGATATCTGCGAAACGCGTTTTGCTGCCAAGTAATGCAGTGGACTTCTTTGACTGGCCCCCAAAGCCGCTGACGTTCCAGCCGGAAGGGAGCCCCAAATGCCGTGGCCAAGCTGTCAAATCGTTCATAAAGGCAGGGAACCCTTCCCATCATGATGCACTTTTTCACGGTCCTTCAACTACCCACGCCCGTCTCCGAGCTTCTCCGTCAGTACTCCGAGGCCATCGCGGCGTCCTATTGTAGTCCGCTGCTTTCTTACTGGTGATGGTAAGTCGCGGATAATTGATGATGCTCATATGCCCACTCAGCGAGGATGTCGATGGAGTACAGTAACTGCAGTCGCGGATGGTGATGTGCTGATCACCTCACGAAGGCAGCTGCGAGGCATTTGTAAGGTAGGTCTGAGGAAGGTGCGACTTTGTGCATGCTGAAACCAGGCGCGTCGTGTTTCGACTTCGCGACTTCAATTGTCAAGTTCATCTCAGACTCATCAAGGTACAGCTGCAGAAGTGCTCGGTATTTATTAAGCATTCACAAAGTCCGCGAGGGAGCGCAAATTTGTTCGTCTGGTTCCCTGGGCAATTTCGCGTGGTGGTGAGATTCGGGCGGATTCTGGTGGCGTGACTCACGTCGACTTCAATTGAGCTCGTCGTCATTTGTTTGATGTCACTTCCAGACTCGGCTTTCTTCGTCAACTGTCTTTCATACACAATATCGATCTCGCCGTTTCATCCGCGACTTCGACCCGTTGGCGACGCGGAGCCCGTCTCATAGCCTTGTCTTCGACTGCCTTTGCAACACCCACTCCAAGATCGTTTACAGCCACGATGTCGATCGGCGCCCAGCAGCCTGCGAAGGAATCCGGCGACGACTGCCTCGCTCAGATAGACGCCGTTCTACCAACTTTGAGCTGTAGCCAACTACGTGCACTCAAGTCGAAAGTTGACGCGATGGTAGCAAAGATGTTCGCCTCATTTCTAGGACTGCCTACCGAAATCCGACTTGCCATCTACGCAAAGTACTTCGAGCTAATCGACGAGACTATCAGGGTTGAGCGGCTGGTCGAGGAGTACGACTATCCTGAGGATGAGAGCTCGGTCGTCATAGGCATCCACGGATGCACGAATATCCTCGAGGTCTGTCGCTCAATCGCCAAGGAAGCTCGTCCGCTTCTTCAGTCCGCAATCGAGCAGCGCAAAGTGCGCTTCTGCTTGGCCGAGCGGCGAGTGCCGGTCGCTATCAACAAGTACCTCCGCTCGCCACACTCGATGCTGAGTTCTGTCAAGACCGTGGAGATCCCATCCGACTTACATGGCCCGTGGACAGAAATTATGACACGGATGGAGGGTCTAGAAGGAAGGGATATTCACGTCGTGTGCCCAAGAGTCATGGTCTCGACTTCCGATAACGACGGGTCTGCACTGAAGTTAGAGTACGCTCTGTTCCAAAAATATCTCGGCAATCGCTATGATATCCTGGAGCCTACTAGCCAGCTAGAAGATCTCGACTTCAGCAAAGCCTTTCCGACTGTCCTACGTCGCTCGCACATATATGGATGAACTATATGGGCAGCAAGCACAAGAGTCTGCAGATCTCGGTACCGCTGCGCTCGCGAGGAGATTGGGCCTTCCATGACATGGTACGTGAAGATCTGAAGACCAGTGATTCTAGCAGCAGCTGACTTTCGAGCAAGACGATCACATTCGACGCGCCTGGGTTAAGCCAAATCCCCAATCCCAATTCAGACGAGTTCATTCTGGTCAGAGCTAGCCCAATCAAAACATTCACGGGAAGCCAGACTGTTGTGCGAAGTCAAACTCCGGTTTGGGATCTGATCGACTGATGGCAAGGGATGGTGTGCGATGCGGGCTCCGTCACTGCAACGCGCAGCTGGAACGCATCAAGCTTGGGACACGCTAAGTGGACATTGATAGCAGGCAAGCTATGACACAAGCCCCAATGAGGGCACTGTGATGAACGAACACGTCACACGTAGCTGAGGCTACGACGGATGTTCTTGGCAGGGTAGACATCTTTTTTGATACCCAAATGATACTCCACTCATTCAAACTACCTCAATACTGCTCACACTCACAACTTCGCACCATCCCCCAAAAACCTAACCGGAACATCCACCACCCTCCCCCTCAAGAACTCCGCCACATTCTTCCCCAAAAAGTCCACACTGCTCGTACTCGTCACGCCGCGATCCAGTAAATTCCTGAACAAGAAATGCACACCCCTCAAATTCGGCAACTCGAACCGTTCGATTTCAATCTTTGGTCTTCTGCTCTCGTCGTATTCATCCCCCAGGAGGGTCTTGATGGTCTCGATGGAGAGCAGATTGCGCAGCCAGGTGTAGATCTGGGCAGAGAGAGGGTGCGGGTGTGGAACCCAGAAGCCACAGTTTGCATCGCTGCCTTTGTCGCCGGAGCGGGCGTGGATTAGGCTGCCTAGGGGAGCGGGGGTCGTGGGGCCGAAGGATGTTAGGGAGAGCCGGATCTGTGTTGTAGATTGGGAGGGCTGCCGTGGCGGGAATGTTTGGGTGGTCGAGGGAGGGTCGATGACTGTGGTGCGCCCGTTGAAGTGCACAGCGTGGGTAAGAGCAGATTGCGGGAGGAGGGTGACGTAGTACTCGAAGTAAGGCTTGGGTATGCCTTGGCGGAAGTCAAGGTGGAAGGTGGCGCCTGGGTAGCCTTGCATGATGTTGTCGATGATGGGGCGGAGGAAGCGTTGTGGGGAGATCAGGTCGGCGGTGCGCGCTTGGGCGAAGGCGCGGAAGATGGTGGTTGCGGCGTCTTGGGATGGGGAATTGGGTAGGGCGGAGCCGATGGTGTGGAATTTGAGCAGGCTGTAGTCTTTCGAATATGGGAGGAGAGCGTATCGGAGTTGGGTTTCGAGCATGCGGGCTTTGGCGGGAATATCGAGGCCTGTGAGGAGGTACATTGCTTCGGCTTGAAAGCCGCCAAGGGCGGTACAGCCGACTTCGTGGTTGGTGGAGGAGGAAGGCCGCGGACGCCGTGAAGCGCAACGCGGTTGGCCCCGACTTGTTCGAAGGAGAGCTGTTCGAGAACCGCAGTGACGTCCGAGTTGAAGTACCAGGGTCCTTGAATCTCGTAGACGAGTTGGGACGAGCAAGTGTTGACCGAGACCATGCCTCCGGAGTCCTTCTGCTTGGTAATGACGACTTGGCCGTTGGCTGAGATCTCGGCGATTGGGAAGCCAATGTCAACCCAGCCGCCTGGGTGATGTTCTAGCTCCTTGAAGCCGGAGTAATTTCCGCCGCAAACGTACGTTGAGCATTCGATGAGATGGCCGGCGACGAATGCATTGGCAAGCTCTTGGAGCTGGTCTCTCCTCCAGCCGTGGTACCAGTAGCTGCCCCAATCACTGGTGAGGCGTCCGCAACTCGACCACATAGGACAATCTGGGCGCCTTGCGAGAATGCTTCTGCAATTCCAAGGCCGCCGAGATAGGCCTGGGCGTACATTGGCTTGAACTTCCATGTGTCAAGTGTCTCGCCAGTATAGATGTTTGTGAAGTTTGACTGGCCACTTTTCAGTGACTTCTCGACCGCTGGCCAAGCCTCGTCACCCGATATCCAAGCGACCTTGATGTCCAGGCCCTTCTTCGCAATCATGTTTAGGACCACCTTGTAGAGACCTTCCGTGTCGCTGGATCCCGCATTGACCGCGACCTTGATGTTGTACTTAGCAAGGTCCTCAAGGGCAGGCTCCAGTGCTTCCAGGAAGGATGTCTCGAAAGCTGGACCAACTGGCTCCCAAGGATCTGCTGGTGTCTCCTTTGACCTCCTGGAGTTCACCTTGCGTGCTCCCGCTGTGACCATATTGGCTTCGCTCATGTAGTCGCTTATGATCACGTGTACAGGGTCAGTTGGATATGCTTTTGCGAATGCTGCCATGGCATGTCGCCGGTCGCTGGCTGAGCCAGACGCGCCAGCAATCCGGATTGGTCGTGTTGACGAAGCCATTTTGGTATTTTTGAAGTTTGGTATCAGGCCTTCGAGCCACAGGTCATATGGTCGAAGAGGCAAAAGGTGCGATGGCAGCTCCCGCCGAGGGCGTGCCATGCCTCGTGAACTCACATCTCATGAGGATGGTGGTCCAAATGCCAAGTGCTTGAGCCTCGGTTGGAAATAGGCGCGCCTAGGGACAGGCTGAGAGTTGGAGAAGGTTATTCCGCCGTGGAGAGTAGCCAAGTCTTGGGAGGTGCTTCAGAAAATCAGCGTCGATTCCTCCATCGTTGTCCCATTCCATGGCAGGCGCATGCGCTGATGCTGTTCTTAGCTGCAGCTTCATATGGATGTCCGGACTCCTTATTTGGGATCAAATTGGTGATTTGAACACCCACGCGACATTCGCTGTAGGTAAGTATCAAAACGCGGCAAGTGACGTTGTCTCGTGTATGGCCTTCAGGATCCGTTCATGTCCGTCAGGGAGGCCTTTATTTGCCTTGCGATCAACGCGTCTGAGATAGCTTGCAGAACCTAGAGGTGAGGAAGAGATCATGATGGTTGTGCATGCCTCGTGTAACATCACTGCGATCTGTGTGACACGCGTTTGGCAAATGAAGTCATTTGAACTTCGCTGACACGAATCTCACTTAATCATCAGGCCTTCAAGACTGACTTCAATTCACCCATACCCACGAAGACACCGGACTACTGCTCGGTTCCTTCAATAGTGACAGATAGTTGACAGGTTCCGCCTCATCGCAGACTCCTCCTGCATCGACCACCAACTTGACGCCTGAGTCACCTGACATAATTCGAGCATTGCTTGCTTCCTCGATCACACCTCCTCAGGTCAGTAGAGTCCTCCCTGGTCAAGCAATTACCGCAACTCGGACTAAAAATCGCAGAATGGCCTTAATCGCCACCATGAAGACGCAGATGCGCCGACTATGGGAATCCCTGGCCGAAACACTCTCAGCACATCCTCTCTTGGTCAAGACGGTAGCGCTCGCCGGAGGCTCCGGCCTGATTATCGCCGCCTATCGAGACTACCAGGCCTTCCTCGCCCTAGGGCGTGGTGGCATCCCTTACAACGCGTTCGGCTGGCTCATCAATGCACTCATTCTTCGTCCCCTTGCCCTCTCCTACTCTGCACGGCTCTACACCGGCGACTACCCTGACTCTGGAGCGGGAAAGGTGCTCTTGGAGCTGCCACTGCGAGAAGGACGACGTCCTATGGCTGACGGAATTATCCCGCATCGTCAGATGACTGACAAGGCTCCTGAAGCTATGGCGGCACCGTCAAGGCAGATGATGCTAGGGTTTCTGGAAGATCCGGCGTTCGAAGGCCGCCTGGAAGTGAAGAAGAGTCACTACGAGTTGCACAACGACGCCTTATATGTGAAGAACCTGGAAGACACCGCTTTGCCGGCGCTTGCGCCAGCAGCCAAAGGCGAGATCATGCATGTTCATCCAGACCGATCAATTCATGTCTATCTACACCCTGCTGATGCTCGAGTCGTGATCGCGAAAGGCTGGGGAGAGCGTCACCGCCTCAGCAGAACCTGGCCGTGGTGGATGGGACGGCGGCAGCAATTGTTGGGTGTAGGACATACCTGGATCATGCTGTACGGGGCTCGAGACGAGTATGAACTCGCGACTCTGCGCGATATCACGGCTGAAGGAGTCAAATGGATGCTAGGCGACAGAGCTGGTGGCAGCTAGGTCGTACAGCACATCAGCATTGGCAGAGAAGGGTGCTCATTGACAGAAAGTGGTGATCCGTGAACTGGCGTTGATGTTGTGCTTCTGGCGAGGAGGCCTTCATGGGACTAGCTGCGAGAAAGGAGGCCATGGTCAAGAAAGAAGTCAAAACGTATCAACAGTGGACAAGTGCAACTTAGCTTCCAGTAGATAAAGCAAGATCGGTAATACTGACCACCTCGGGCATATCCGACTGGTCGGGCAACTGCCTGACTCGTTTACGCGCTTCCCCACATATCGGAATATAGATACGAGCGAACGCCCTCCATGCATTCAAAGCATACTTGGTCTCTTTGGACTTTCGAAGCTGAACTGTTACTACCTCACAGAAACGAGATGGTGCACTTCTACGACTCAATCTCTCCAGATCTAGAAGAATGGATCATGAAACAGACATGCTTCTTCACGGCTTCAGCCCCGCTCCGTGGGCAGCACATCAATTGTTCTCCCAAAGGGCTGCCCGCATCATCATTCAGCATTCTCAACCCGAATCTAGTAGGCTACGTCGATGCGACAGGCAGCGGGATCGAGACGATCAGTCACATACAGGAGAATGGGCGGGTGACGATGTAAGTGCCTTAAGCAAACGTGCATTCAGTTTTAGCAGATAATGCGAGTATGGGTTCCAATCTGAGCAAATCAGGTCCCGTAAGGGATGTGACCACCTCCTCGTCTAGAGCCATGCTGACCAGGATGTGCCCCACCAGACTGCTTTGCTCATTTGATGCTACTCCGAGGATCATGAGGCTGTTCTGCCGAGGCAGGGTCATTCCCTGGGACCATTCGGAGTTTGACAACTGGCGGAGCAGGATGGGTAACAAGCACTTCGAGGGGATGCGCGCGGTGATATTATTGGATGTCTGGAAGGTGAGAGATTCTTCCCACAGCGAAACTAGGGCATGGGCACTGACGGTGTGTTCTAGGTGCAAACATCGTGTGGATATGCAGTACCGTATTTGAATCTCAGACCAGACCCGGAGAATGCTGAAAAGAAGGTACCTTATCTTGAGGATCGCCAAACGTTGGGGCACTGGGCCAAGAAACAGATCGACAATAAGACGATGAACGACTACCGCGCTACTTTCAACAGTCGGTCGCTGGACGGTTTGCCCGGACTGCGAGTCGCCAGAAAGGATAAAGGAGAGCTGCTATTGCTTCGGGATATAGAGGCACAGGTGTTGAAGCGAAATGGCGTGCAGATTGTGCTTGTGGCGCTATTGTCGTCGGTCGTGACCGCGGTGGTGGTGCTATTCCTGACTGGTCACACGAGCCTGCCAGACATAACGAATAGCTTCATGTCGAGGATCGGCGGCATTCAGTAGGATACTGCTTGAATCGCAGCTTTTCAAGTTAAAATTCGGGAGCAGAATTGTACCTGCTTGGCAGCCAAGACTGGCAGCCTCGCAACCCACCACTCGACTACTGTTGGATGCATCAAAAAAAGCAAAAAGTTGAAAGTCAAGCGATTCACGTTCTTCGCATTTCTCAACGAGGATAACCTTCTGCCACCACGTCGGGACCAAGACGGTGTCTGCGCCATTGCTGGCCTGAACTGTACGCCTGTAGCTTAGAGCAAGCCAGCATCGATGTTTACACGATCGAGTGACATTGCTTTCCCAACGTCTGAAGAAGATCCTCAAGCCAAGTTGTAGGACGACGAAATGTATCAGAGACAATCTCCTTTGTTTTCCCATGACAGGATGAGCGCCAAGAAATGATGAGCAAAATATATAGCATCAAAAAACCAAGCTGAGTCAGCGGGAATACGAGCTGACGGCCTTATTTCCGCGCGGGCGCTGACAGCAGATGCCGAGGCTGAATTCGCCCCTCGTGTACCCCGCCATCAAAAATTTGAAGGTTTGAAGCATAGCAGATCTCACCTGCCCATGAGCTGAGGGACCGCGCCGGCGGTTTCTTGCGGTCTTCGCTTCGATATCAGCATTCCTTCAGGAGTCCACGAGTTGCCTTTCCAAGCATTTACTTCTGCTCTTAGTACAGGCCCTAAGGCTACCCATGAGTCTTGGTAGCTGACTCGCAGATACCTTCAGCCATCCTCGAATCAAGGAAGAGCCTGCGCCGCATCCCCTACTAGCACAATCATATCGTAATCCTTCCGCTCTTTATTGATGTCTACCTGGTCGTTTCTGCTTATCGCTGTGCGCCTTGCACTTTGACAAGGAGCGTTCGAGGGACTCCGGGTCAACGACAGCGGTACCGGTACATTCTCTCGATCCATCTATCCGCAGCACCTGCCCTTTTGTAATCAAGGACGGAGAAGCGGCCGAGAACGCAGTCTTCCTTATGGCCTAGACTCAGTATTTGCACCACTCGCGAGACCCTGCGGATTAGCCACAAGGTCTTGCCAGTTGTTTGCCACCACCAGATCGAGTATACTCTACCATTCCCGACGAGCTAGTTGAGCTTCGTGTTAATGTCAACCCCGCAATCGACCTCATCGGTGCAAGGGCTCGACATCTTCCTACGAACCAGGGTGCGGCTTGTGGTGGATAATGACATCTCCTTCGTTCCGTTGACCAACCGCAAACGTGTTTCGAATGGTCCCCTGCTCCAGTGATACGCACTGTCTCGGTCCATAGGAAAGCGAAGCTGTTCGTAACTGCTATGGCTATGGCTTGAGTTTTCGTCACTGGCAGCACCTTCCCCGCGCTGCGATTTCAAATAAAGATCAATCACTTTTCTTCCGATCTCACTTGGATAGAATTTCTCTTCAGTATCACTTGCACAGCTGGTTCTGCGATATTTCAACTGTTAAGAGTTCTCTACCAAGTAAACAAATCTACATACCACAGAAAACCGCAATCATGTCTCTCACACAGAAGATCGAGACTCCCTCAATCACCTACGAGCAACCAACTGGTCTGTACATCGATGGCAAGTGGGTGAAGGGCAAGGAGGGCAAGACCTTCGAGACCATCAACCCCACCAACGAGAAGCCCATCGTCGCTGTCCAAGAGGCCGGTCCCGAGGGTGAGTCGACCTTCTGCGATTACACAAGATGCGGTGACTGACAGACTCGCAGATGTTGACATTGCCGTCAAGGCTGCCCGCAAGGCGCTGAATGGCGTATGGGCGCAGACCATGCCCTCAAGCCGTGGTCAGATGCTCACCAAGCTCGCCGACCTCCTCGACGAGCACGTCGACACACTGGCCGCGATCGAGTCCCTCGACAACGGCAAGGCCCTGTCAATGGCAAAGGTCGATGTCTCGCTTGCATCCGGCTGCCTGCGCTACTACGGTGGCTGGGCTGACAAGATCCACGGAAAGACCATCGATACTGACCCGGAGACATTCAACTACACCCGCCACGAGCCCGTCGGTGTGTGCGGTCAGATCATCCCATGGAACTTCCCTCTCCTCATGTGGGCGTGGAAGATCGGCCCTGCGCTTGCCACTGGTAACACTGTCGTTCTGAAGACTGCTGAGCAGACTCCTCTGTCTGGTCTGTATGCTGCCACTCTTTGCGAGAAGGCTGGCATCCCAGCTGGTGTCGTCAACATTCTGTCCGGCTTCGGCAAGACTGCTGGTGCCGCTATTGCCTCGCACATGGACATTGACAAGGTCGCCTTTACTGGCTCAACTGTCACTGGCCGCACTATCCTCCAGGCTGCTGCCAAGTCCAACTTGAAGAAGGTCACCCTCGAGCTCGGCGGCAAGTCACCCAATATCATCTTCAACGATGCCAACATTGAGGACGCCATCTCATGGGTCAATTTCGGCATTTTCTTCAACCACGGCCAGTGCTGCTGCGCCGGCTCGCGTATCTACGTGCAGTCAGGTATCTACGACAAGTTCATCGAGGCATTCAAGAACCGAACTGCCAAGAACGTTGTTGGTGACCCATTCGCCAGCGATACCTTCCAGGGTCCTCAGGTCAGCCAGCTTCAGTTTGACCGCATCATGAACTACATCCAGGCCGGTAAGGATGCTGGTGCCAAGGTTGAGACCGGTGGCGAGCGTCACGGCAAGGAGGGTTACTTCATCCAGCCCACTATCTTCTCCAACGTCTCAGAAGACATGAAGATCATGCAAGAAGAGATCTTTGGTCCCGTCTGCTCGATCTCGAAATTCGAGACAGAAGATGAGGTCATCAAGAAGGGTAACGAGACCACCTACGGTCTCGCTGCTGCCGTCCACACCACCAACCTCAACACCGCTATCCGTGTCTCGAACGCACTCAAGGCCGGTACCGTCTGGGTTAACTGCTACAACATGCTCTCGTACCAGGTGCCATTCGGTGGCTTCAAGGAGTCTGGCATTGGTCGTGAGCTTGGCAAGTATGCGCTGTCGAACTACACACAAGTCAAGTCCGTCCGTGTCAGACTTGGCGGTGCTCTGTTCGGTTAAGTGTACATTTGATGGGAAACAAAATAATATCTACGCTTCCGATCGGATTGCAATTGCCAGGGTGGCGAACGTGAATGGGCGCATGGGAACGAAAAGTGAGCCCAATGTCTGTAGCTGCTTCATGTATAATGACAATCTTCGAGAAGGTGCAATTTACCTGATTCCATTGTGCTCCACGTGTCGTTAATCTCTAGCTTAACCTAGTGTCCCATATGCTGGTGATGTTGTCATCACTTGTCCGTGGACTGATACATACTTATGGATTTGCCCTCCACCTCACCGCCACCTGCAACTAGAGGATGCACGCGTAGGATCTGCTATAGCCTGTTCCGCACATGCATCCACCCATCTCCCACGTCGTACCTTTCACGTGTGCGTAATCAGAAAAGGTACCTGGGTTTGCGCATCTCAGATCGGTGAGCTCGCATAGATGGATACCTGATGTCCGCAGCGGAGCGCCTCCGGTGTAGATAAGGTCGACACGATACGGCCGTTGGGTGCGCGAGGATAACCGGCCAGGGTTATGAAGGTGAGACTGACTCAGCAGTCAGCCTTAGGGCTGAATGAGGTACCTGATATATCACGGGTTAGGTAGGCCTTGTGCAACGATTATACGGGAAGAAGGAGTAGAGCATCATCGATGTACTGAACAAAGCGTGGCTTATGGTGGTCCTTCGAGTCTAGTTTGTGGGGTGATCTTGCTTGACAGCAACAGCTGGGACGTCCTTCTCGTACGAGTAGGGGCGAATAACAACACGACTCGGAGCGGCGGTCAGTAACTACCATTGTATGTGAGCTATAAGGCAAGCAGATATTTGCAGACTGACTGTCGTCGAGTGGAAGGCGTGTGAGGCAGTGTGTGAGTGGAGTTGCGAGGACTGCAGAGCTCGAGATGGACAAGACGTACGGCAGGAGAGCCTGCCTGGTTGTGAATTTGAGCAAATCCTGCATGACCGTTCTTGCTGATTCTACCCGTTGTGTTCTACTACGCTGTTCCAAGATCAGTGTCGGTGAGCAAGCTGGTACTTTGTACTTGAGAATTTCGTGCATCAGTCGTAGGATGACTTAGCGGTGCGAACGGCGAGCTGTGGCTTCAAAGCACGTGCATACTTCTGACAGCACTTGCTAGACGCGGAGCATCATGATGGCGAGAGCGCAGACAGAAGGGGTTCAAGACAGCAAGAGCAAGGATGATCTCCACGCTGAAGACAGCCTGAGCAATATACATGTACTGGGCGATATGGTTTCTGCTGCTGGCGACGCGACTGGTCAGAATGTGAGCACAGCGACGAGGCAGGCACAAATGCTGCATACAGAGCGCTGCGCCTTCAAACGCGGCACACCCAATCCGCAACAAGCCACGCCTCATGTATCTTGATGTAGGTGAGAGCAAGGACGACCCAGAGGCAAGCAGGAGGCATCCTTGCGGAGTTTGACGGTCATAACTTCCGTCGCCATCTCGGCCCCAGATTGCGCTTGCCTATTTTTAGGCTAGCATGTCTCAGTCCAGTCAACACGTCAGCCTCCTCTTTGACATCCAGCCTTCTTCCATCCTAATTCATTGCATTCACATTCGTTGTTTCATAGTGCATTAATCATGGAGAAAGAGAAGGAGCAGCTTCTCGTCGGCGAGGAGGTCGCCACCCGACCTCAACCCAGAGCTGTGCGCAGGCGCGCAGCTATTTGGGCGTTAGGGGCGACGGCACTGTTGATGCTGTTCTTGCACGGAACCATTAAACGTGCTGCACTTGGGTGCTTCCAACACCGCAAAATCAACGGCGGCATTCTATCGAGCCAGGGACTGATGGAAGCCGAGTCAGCGGAAGTTTGCACCACACCAGCTTGCGTACATGCTGCTTCCGAATTACTGTATAATTTGTCGCCTGAATACAAGGACCTGGATGCTTGCACGAATTTCGAGGAGCTGGTCTGTGGTGGCTGGAAAGAGCGGCATGATCTGCGACCCGATCAAGGAGACGCGTTCACTGGCACTATCATGTCCGAAAACTCCCAGCTATTGCTTCGACATATTCTGGAGGCGTCATACCCTAAGGATTCAAGCCATTCGGAGTTCTCGCCCGTGAGGCTGCTTGCGACTGAAGCTTCCGCTGATGAGGACAACTTCAAGAAATTGCAAGACGGCTACAATGCTTGTCTTGATGAGGCTACCATCAAGGAAGCTGGTACTAAGCCGCTCGAGGAGATCTTGAGCAAGATCAGGGAGCTGTACAAGGTTGACGAGCCATGCCCTAGTGGCGAGGACATCGCGAAAACTGTGCTCTACCTGTCGGAGCTTGGTGTCACTGCACTTGTGACCGCCGGCACTGGAGCGGACGACAAGGATCCCGACAAAGTTGTCGTCTCTGTGTCGGCGCCCTGGAGGATCGGCTTGCCGTCGAAGGAGCGCTACGAGGACGATGACTTACTCAACGGCTACGAGGGAACGATTGGCAGAATCTTTCAACACATGCATCTTACCAACCAGCCCATCCCGCGCAAAGTCATCCAGCTGGAGCAAAAGCTTGCTGCTGCTTGCCCGGATCAAGAAGACATGTTCGATGTGACCAAGTACTACAATCCGATGTCGCTAAAGGATACCGAGCTCTCACGCCGAAGCTTCATATCTCCAAGATCATCAATAGCCAGCTACCCAAGGACACCTCGGCTGACAATGTCATCAACATGACCCCGGACTACCTCAAGAAGCTGGCTGGGATTCTGGAAGAGACCGACCGGGATGTACTACTAGGATATTTCTACTGGAAGACCATTCAGGCTTATGGTCCTTACATCGAGGCCGACGTTCTGAAGCCTCTCAAGGAGTGGAACAATTTCCTAGCAGGCAAAGACAAGGATGCAGAGGAGGACCGATGGCGAACTTGCGTTGATCACGTTGACGGCGGCTTGGGCTGGATCCTGTCGCGCTTCTTCATCGAGAAGGCTTTCTCTGAAAAAGCCAAGAACTTTGGTGACCAGATTGTGTCGGACATCAAGACGGAGTTCATCGAGAAGCTCAAGAAGACTGAGTGGATGGAGAAGGAAGTGCAGGATCTTGGCATTGACAAGGTGCACAATATTGTACAGAAGATCGGCTACCCAACGAAGGTATGGCAAATCTTCCAAACCCCGTGGGCCGTCAACTGATAATCTGCAGAGCCCGGACATCATGAACCCGACAAAGCTAGCTAAGTACTATTCGGACGTCTCAGTCTCTCCCAAGACCTTCTTTGCCAACGCCGTCACCATGGCCCGCTCCGAGATCACCAAATCCTGGGCAGCGTACGGCAAGCCAGTTGATCGCAACGAATGGGGCATGACAGTCCCTACCGTCAACGCATACTACAACCCACCGGGCAACGAGATTGTCTTCCCTGCCGGCATCATGCAATTCCCTGTCTTCGACGTCAATGTTCCCGAGTACCTTTCCTACGGCGCCTTCGGCTCCGTTTCAGGCCACGAACTCTCTCACGCTTTCGATAGCACTGGCCGCCACTACGACCAGACTGGCAACTACACCGACTGGTGGACCGAGCACACTGTGCGCGAATTCGAGAAGCGAGCGGATTGCTTCGTCGAGCAGTACCACAACTACACGATCGACGGCCCCGACGGCAAACCACTCCACGTCAACGGCAAATTGACCTTAGGCGAGAACATCGCCGATGCAGGTGGCGTCTCAGCAGCGTTCAGCGCATGGAAGAAGCGCGCGGCCGAGAAGAAGAATCAGAACTTGCCTGGTTTGGAGCATTTCACGCAAGAGCAGCTGTTCTTTGTAAACTATGCGAATTGGTGGTGTGGTGCGAGCAGGAAGGAGACGGCTGTGAATAGGATTTACACGGACCCGCATGCGCCCAAGTGGGCGCGCGTGTTGGGCACGATGGCGAATTCGAGGGAGTTCAAGGAGGCTTTCAGCTGTAAGGTGAAGGAGCCGGTTTGTGAGCTGTGGTGAAAGTTGAGATTGGCTGTTCCGAAGGTGACAAGACTTGGACAAAATTGCACATGAGCGGGATTGTGGTTATTCTTGTCAGGGACAGTACGGTACCTAAGGTATACTTCGTTGGACGGTATTGTTGATTCGAATGTTATTCCGACCCCAGATCGGGACCCCTTCTACAGGCATTTCACGCAGTATCGATTCATTCACAAGTGTGGCGGACGCAGCAGAAGCTGAGCAAAAGCAGTTGTTTTGTTACGCCGGATGACTAGCAACGTTCCTGTGGAAGTGCAAATATGAATGCGTGGGGTGGGGTGAAGGCGACCAATAAACCCGACTGCAAAGCGGCTGCCACAAGACCGGTTGGCCGCAAGACCGGATAACGACACCGCTCGATTTGATCACTTGCTTCGATGGCAGGCTCAGAGCACCATACTGCAGAGAAGGCGGGAAAGCAGGCACGTTGACAATACGAATCTGTCTCGATCCCGACTGATGCCCTTTCGAGCTAGTCCTCGTACGTGAGCACTAATGCAGCTTGCTACTGGCAGTCCTGGGCAGGTTCACAACCGAACGTCCATTTCGAAAGATCGTCAAAAGTATTGCACGGAAACTGCGTGTCCCAGGATCATGCTGGACTATGTTGGGAGCGCAAGACGCGTTGTTGTTGCCAGTCCACTCCAACACGCGTCGCCTCGAGTTTGTACACTGTTGTATTGTGCAGAGCAGTCCACTTGCCGTAGCAGAGTCGGCGTAACCCTAGAGGCTCACGAACTTCGCGCATGCGACGTGGCAACAGCTTGCTCGAGGACATGGAAGCATGCCGCCGTCACTCTTCAACAATCTCGCCTACTCGCTCTCCGAGACCGAGCTGCACCTCGTCACCCAGCGGCAGCGCTTCGCCGAGCTGCAAGCGCGATACGATGCTCTGACGACCATCAGCTGTTCTTCCTCATCAGCAGCCTCATTTGTGCCAGATGGGGCTAATGTGACCGAATGTCGCGTCTCGAGTGAAGCGAAAGCCGCGATGGGCGAGCCAGACACAGCCTTATCAACCATGACGGTCTTTGCTCGCCATGCTCAGCTGATAGACCTGGGTTCCACACTGTCCGAGAACATCAAAGCTGGCAAGAAGCGAATACGCGACGAACAGGAACTTCTGGCGCGGCACGAACACGCGCTGAGCCGTGTAATGCTGGCGCAGGAGCGCTTGGAGACGCACATCAGCAGGAATGCGGCTGAAGTGCGGATGCTGGAGAAACAGATGGAGGATCTGCAAGACGAGATTGTTGGCGCGGACGGGGATGTGCAGGGATTTAGGGTGCTTGCGCGGAAGATTTTGAGAAGGGCAGGGACGTATGCGTCGTCGAGTAGTGGTGGAAGGGCGAATATCGCCAGAGGGGAATGTAGGACTGGTGGGGCGGCAGCACCAGGCAACACGATCACGGGTGAGGCTATCGAGAATCTGCGGTCGAGCAGTGACCATTCGGAAGCTCGGGCTCGAAGGAGAGATCTCAGAGGACGTTTTTCGAGGCGGTCGTCGAGCGTGACTACGGTCGCAACTCACCTAACCATCAACTCGACTGATTCCGGCCGATCGACGACGCCGAGCTCGCCTGACCTGGTCACAGTCCAGATGTTGAGGGAGACTCGGCGTCCATTGCGGGTCGTGAAGAACTTCGAGTTGATTGTGCCACTGAAACGGTCCCTCACGACGGTCGAGACTTGTAATGATGGGAGTCGGGATGATGAAGGGAGGACCGGCAGACGACCAAACCAAAGAGCGGACGAGGGCATCAGCGCCGGGGTGAAGAGGTCGAGGTTTTTCAGACGGTGTGTCGCGAGAGAAAGCATTGAGCTGGACTGAGCATAGTGAGTTGACCCATCGAGTCGGACGTGTTCAAGTCCTTCTGACCATCGGTTTGCCACATGAAATGTCGTCGGTGACGAGAGCCTGGCGCAGGTCATTGCATGGCACTGACTATTCTCGGGGACATTAGCGGCACAAGTACGTAGCTGAATGGCAACCTGACAAAGTACGTTTTTCTTGATATCTACCATGTACGATACCTCATTGCACGACGTCGAAATCCCTGCTCACGCTCCAGAGGACTCGGCATCCCGTGCATAACATATGATACCCAAGCGTCAGCGGCAAGTCCTTGAGCGAAGATCCGTGCTGAATGAGCGCCCAGGACTGCGAACAACGCGCATTGATCTGAAACGTGACGAGTGCGGTCGAGAGGAAAACTTGGCGACGCGACATGATCATCCGGAATCGTTTGATGATGGTGGACCAACAGGCATGAAAGAATTCTTGAAGATGATGCACTGCCTCAGTGCCGAGAAAACAGGAGATAGAGGAGAAACAGCAGACGAGATTACTGGCTTGAAAAAAGAAGGGGTGAGCTGCGGGTCTCCGCTCAAGTCTCTTGGCGTCCTTGGCATATCACTGTCTGCGCGCCTCTTTTCCTCCTTTTGCTCACATTTCCCCTGCTAATCGTCAATCAAGCATTGCCAACGTTGAATATGCCCTTGTACAGTTCCGCTCGGCTGTCCATTTGCCAATGTCCGCACTCGCCAGATCAGACATGGATTGCCTTGGTCAATCTGCAGCAGATATCGTTGAGATATCATCCTCCTTTCCTTGTTTCTCCGTGTAGGTCGTGCTTTCTTCACTCGACAACTGTATCATTCTTGCCCGGTCTGTATCCGCCGGATTTCTTCGTTGCTTGTCTGTGGTTGCAGACGTCCCCTCACTGCCAGTGACTCGACTTGATCCGACGCGAATCGCGCTCGTTACGAACCTTACTTCTTTTTAATCACCTTACGACAGCAAGATGGTCAAGGTATGCCGCATGCATCTCCGAGGTTTGAGAGCTGTGTACTGACCAGATGAACAGTTTCAAGCCGCCATCGCGGCCTTCAGCGCCCTCATCTCCTCCACAGTCGCCGTCACGCCTATGGCCGTCCGCGGTGCCGACTTCGTGAACAGTGTCGATGGCAGTCGGTTCCAGATCATTGGTGTTGCGTAAGCATCCATCAACGTCCGAATAAAGGTGACACTCCTGACGGTGAAAATAGATACCAGCCAGGTGGCTCAGGTGGCTACAATGGCAATGGCGAAGACTCCCTATCAGACGGCGAGGTTTGCCAGCGAGATGCTGTTATCCTTCAACGGTTGGGTGTCAACGCCATCCGTGTATACAACCTGGATCCCGAGGCCGACCATACTGAGTGTGCTTCGATCTTCAACGCCGCCGGTATCTACATGATCCTCGATGTCAACTCGCCTCTGCCCAACGAGTCTCTGAATCGAGCGGAGCCCTGGACAACATACAACGACATCTACCTTGCCCGAACTTTCAAGGTCGTTTCAGCATTCATGAACTTCCCCAACACTCTTGCTTTCTTCTCTGGCAACGAGGTTATCAACGAGGATTCTCACCCTGACGCACCTCGCTACATGCGTGCCGTCACCCGCGACATCAAGGAGTACATCAAGGCGCACGCTCCACGAGAGATTCCTGTCGGTTACTCAGCTGCTGATGTTCGTCCTCTCCTGCTGGAACGTATGACTACATGTCCTGCGCTCTGTCCAATGATACCACCTCGTCGAAGATGGACTTCTTTGGCCTGAACTCATACGCCTGGTGCGGTGAGTCCAACGCGGAAGATGCCGAATATGATGTCTTGATCGAACAATTTGGCAACACAACTATCCCCATCTTCATGTCAGAGTACGGCTGCAACCAAGTCACTCCTCGTGTCTTCACTGAAGTTGGTGCTATCTATTCCACGCCCATGTCAGGCGTTTTCTCTGGCGGCGTGGTCTACGAATACAGCCAGGAGCCCAACAACTACGGCCTGGTCGAGATCAGCGATAATGGTGACGTTGAGCTGTTTGTCGACTATGAGAACTTCCTCGATCAGCTCAACCAACTCGATGTGGCAGCTCTCACCGCCGCTAATGGAACTGCTACGGGCCGTGTTGCCCCCGAATGTTCGTTGGACATGATCTCAGGCTCCAACTTCACCCAGAGTTTCGCGATCCCGGAGCAGCTCTCAGAAATTGCCGACCTGATCAGGAACGGTGTGGACGGAACCTATCCCACTGGCGTCAACACTGTCACCGAGACTGCCGTTGGCCACAGCGTTGTCGACAAGGATGGCAACCCTGTCACAAACCTCCAATTGAACATCCTTGCTGAGGACGCGAGCAATGCTCCTGGCGGTCAACCACTTACCACCGGAAACCGTGTCGATATCGGCGATGCGGATGAGGGAACTGGCAGTGGAGGCAACGGCACAAACAGCACCAGTGGCGGTGCTCAGGAGGACGCCGCTGGACGCGTTGGAAGTGCTCAAGCTACAATCCTCAGCATCGGCGCTCTTGCTCTGGGCATGGCTTTCTTGTAAAGAAGTCAGAGCATTTGCAATGATTTCGACAGCATGGGTTTGGCGAGGGAAATGTTGAGATGCGGTACAGGTACTCCGGCCGTAATCAAAGGAATTGTATGTAAGTAGACAGGTGTTACGGCATTACTTGAATCAAAGACAACTTCATAGCCTCCACCATTCTCGAAACTCGCAAAGTGAGGTTTGCCCTTGGTGTAATCGTCTGATTCTGAATGCGTTGACACGCGTTGACACAGCTTATACGTCGCGATACCTGACCTATCGCTTCGCCGCAGGTACATGGCACACGGGCGTCAACAGTCGTATTCGCAAGATCCAGTCGCATGATCGTATCTCAGAGCAGCAAATGGGACGCCTCGAACTCGGACTTCTAGAACACTTGGAAGCTCTGTTGCATTACCAAGAAACACTCACCTACATGCCTTCCTGAGCTAGCTAGGACCACTTCCTCCATGCTGTCAGTAAGCCTGCCCGAGATGCTTCTAAAGACCGAATTACAGAGCTGTTATCCCGCGCTTTCGCAACCCCGCTGCCTTGGACATCACGCTATCCCGCCCGCCAAGAGCTCTGAACGTCACGCAACTGCTTCGATTGGTGATCAACACTATCATTGATGCAACCTCATCGCGCGGTGCCTGTGTGCCTGGTACCAAAGCTGCAGCTCATTGCAGCAAACCCGCAGCATGAGCTCGGCCATGTGCCTGCGCTCCTGCCTGGTCCAGCTTGAAGTTGGGAGATCCCCACCGTACGGCATCATTAGCTTTCTGATGCTACAGCTCATGCGCAAGTTTCGCCCGAGGCCTGGGAATGGCCTGCCTGGCGCACAGACGTTTAAAACATGACGCATCGCTCGCGTGGGGATTGCGCAAGATGTCGCTCGTGTCTCTTCAGCGTGCTCCTAAGGTCTGTCCAGCATGAGGGTAACTTCCTGTCTCCTGGCCCAGGCGGCCTTGACATATGCGTGCCAGCATGAAATCCACAACCATGAAGCTTTCTTTGGACTGAACGAGCGGCTCACAAAGCGCCAGGAACCGGTGAACTTCCCACCAGCTCTTGACCCCAATGAGGCTATTCTGCTCGGTGCAATCGAGTCGACTGATCTTGATGAGTGGTCGAATTACTACGCTCACCAGTATGTTCAGCGCGTGATTCGACTACGAGCCTACCCTCCAGGCGGACTTCATCTCACGGGTGACTAGATACCATATCGCGGGCACGGCAGAGAGCGTTGCGCAATGGACAGCTGACAGATGGGCCGAGAATGGATTTACCTCTCGCCTTGACGAGTATGGTGAGTGAACAAGCTCATCCTGTCAGAATGCCGCTGACCGGCACACAAGAGGTGTTCCTCAACTATCCGATTTCGAAGTCTGTGACCCTGACCTACCCTAACGGGACGACGTATGTCCCGTCTTTGAAGGAGGACGCCCTTCCTGATGACGATGTGACTGAATATCCGAACTCGATTCCTACATTCCACGGATACTCGTTCAGCGGCGATGCGGAGGGCGAACTCGTGTATGTTGGTCGAGGCCAAGAGGTAGACTTTGACCGCCTCATCGAGCTTGGTGTTGAATTGGAGGGCAAGATCGCGTTAGCCAGATATGGCGGACCTTTCAGAGGACTGAAGGTAAGGACCGGCGCACACTGTGCTGGATAGGATCTGCTGACATAGGAGACAGGTCAAGAACTCCCAAGCTCATGGTATGGCCGGAGTCCTCATCTACACAGACGTCAGAGACGACGGAAATGTGTCGACGGCGAACGGTCTGCTTGCATATCCAGATGGTCCAGCACGAAACCCGACAGCAGTGCAGAAAGGATCGGTTCTGTATTTATCCACATACCCCGGTGATCCAACAACTCCTGGGTAGGTCATCCCTCACGCATGGAAAGTCTCTACTGCTGACACACCAAGCTACCCTTCGAAGAAAGACAGCCCTCGCACCGGTACCGAGCTGGTGACTCCTCGCATCCCCTCCATTCCGATCTCATGGCAAGATGCACAGCCACTTCTGGAAGCGTTGAGCGGGAACGGTCCCAGTGGCGAGGAGATCAACCGCACGAACTGGATTGGTGCTGCGGATGTGGAGTACTCCTCTGGTCCTGCACCCGGTGTCACCGTCTCCATGAGCAACCTAATGAAGGAGAACATCACAACCATCTGGAACACGATCGGCATCATCAACGGTACCAACCCAGACGAAGTCGTCATCGTCGGCAACCACCGCGATGCCTGGATGATTGGAGGTGCAGCGGACCCGAACTCAGGCTCTGCGTGCTTTGTCGAGATGACCAAAGCCTTCAACGCCCTCCTAGCCACAGGCTGGAAGCCCAAGCGCACGATCGTACTCGCCTCATGGGACGCAGAAGAATACGGCATCGTCGGCAGCACCGAATGGGTCGAAGAATACGTCCCCTGGATCCGCCAATCCAACGTCGCCTACATCAACCTCGACACCGCCGTCTCCGGCCCCGTTCCTGACATTTCCGCCACACCCGACCTGCACGCCATCGGCCTCGAAGTCATGAAGAAGATCGTCTACCCTTACCAGAACCTGACCAACGTCACCATGTACGACGTATACACCGAAACGAGCGAATCCGGCATCCCCGGCGTTCTGGGCTCGGGAAGCGACTACACCGCCTTCCTGCACGGCAACGGCATTTCCTCGATCGACATCGGCTCCAACCCCGGGCCCGATTCCCCGGTGTACCACTACCACTCCAACTACGACACCTACCACTGGATGTCCACCTACGGCGACCCAGGCTACGTCACCCACAAGGCCATCGCGCAGTATACAACTTTGTTGGTGTACTACTTCGCCAACGAGGAGATTCTACCCCTCGACCCAGTAAACTACGGCGTCGAAATGACGAAATACCTCGAAGAGCTGCAGTTCACCATCGAAGACGCCGCCGCCGTCAACTCCTCCGCGTCCGAAATCGATCTTGACCCACTGATCTCCGCGATCGAGACCTTCAACGCTTCCGCTGCTGCCTTTGCCGAGTTAGCGAACAGCGAGGATATTGACAGCGATACAGTAGCGCTGTTGAACACGAAATTGAAGGACTACCAGCGCGGCTTCGCCAGCAACGGGGGGATGCCAAGAAGAGAGTTCTTCAAGCATGTGGTCTTCACGCCGGGGCTGGATACGGGGTATGCGCCGGTAACGTGGCCGGGGGTGACGGAGGCGGTTGTTGCGGGGAACTGGACGGAAGCGCAGAGTGAGGTTGCGCGAGCAGCTGGAGCGGTAGAGGTGGCTGCCGGCATCATCAAACCGTAGGCATGGACATTCGATGGAGCAGAATAGGGCCGCTCGTGGTCAGTTGGCACGACCGCGATCTGGAAGAAAGGCCAAGGACGGAGACAGCATACCGTATACATAGACACTAGTGCTTAATGCCATAATTGGAACAGCTAGCTCTCCGCCACAAAGGGCGCATGCGATTACTCGTCCAACGCTGTTGCGCTGCTAGCATAAATTCGAATGTCGCTATGGGTCGTCCTTTCGTTCGACCGCTGAAGTGCAAATTCTGGAAAGTAGTGATCCGCAAAAGACTCGTGTATTTGGCCAAGGTGCAGGCGTAGCTATGAAGGCTCGCTTTTGCTGTATCGAGATCGTAAAGGGCTGAAGCTCTCCTGTGGCCGAACCTGTCATTCATTCTATTACCGCTGTTTCGCAACGGATGTTCTTCGGACCAAGAACGCTCAGCGTGGAAAATCGACCGAAACCTTGACGTCGTTGTTCTCCCAGAGCTGTTAGGTAAGCCATTCTTCACTATTTACTCGGTGGCCTTTGCTACCGGGAGCCGGTTTTGCTTCCAATGCGCAGCAGACCGCGAGGCAAAACAGATTTAATGCCCATGAAGGAGGCGAAGAGCTTATAAAGCTTCGTTCGTACGGATGACGATGGCAGCCGTCCAGCTACCTTCCTTCGAGAAGGTCAATATGCTGGGCACCTTCCAGCAGAGTCGTCACCATGCTGCTGCAACTACCTATGTAGACCGCCGAGAACAGCATCTCGACGGTGTTCGAGCGCTGTCACCCTACGTCTATCATCGCGCGTACGCTATGGATTCACCGGCATCGCGTCCTCCACAGGACCTGACTTTCGTGTCCATGACTGGTCCTACATTGAATGAAAGCAGCGCCAAAGCCATGCGCGCCCACACTACACGAGCTAACTTCAGGAAACGGCGGCACAGATTGGTGCAAGAATATCTTGATCAGAAAGCAAAGTCCGCTCCGCCGGGGACCGGGATGGCCACGCCAACCACACCAGATACGAGGCCTCCACAGGTATTGAGCGGGATTATGTTGAAGGATGATGCGTCACTGATCAATTATCGTACGTCCGAATCTATGGTACTGACTAGACCCAGACTTCACTGACATGAACGTTCTTATCAGTGACCCATGAGATGGAAAAGCTCTACCCGGCAACAGGCAGAGTGGGGGGAGATCAGAGCTCATCTAGGATGCATTCTCACTGGGTCTCACTTCTTTCCGATCCAGCAATGCGCAACGTATCATTATACTTTGCGACACAGGTATACATGGAGCGTTTGCGGCTTCATACAGAGCAGTTTCTGGTTTCTGCTGCGAAAGGGACCGCCTTACAGTCTCTTGGGGATCGGCTCAATGGCTTTTCCGGCGAGTGTCCAGACAGCCTTATAGCTGCCATTCTCACTCTCACTGTCCTCGATGTACGTTGCCAGTACCGTTCCTCTCATAATGCCGATCCAAGCTTTGCTGACACTGATACGCTCACGCGTAGCAAGTCTTAGGAAACATATCAGGCTGGCAAATCCACTTGTCTGGCCTCATCCAAATAGTCGCAGCCCGCTCACAGGACGCGACGCAGTCCGCTACCGTGTCATGGACTGACGATGTGATAGCACGGTCAGTCAGCGCTCTCGCTGCAGACGTAGATGACTGACAGACTCCACAGCGCGGTAATGCAAGGTCTCCTTCTCTTCGATCGACACGATCCTTCACTTATGCCCTGGGTTGAGAGCACTGGTGTCTTCGACACGTGCTTCTCAGCTCCCGGTAAAGAAGCAGCCTACCTCATTCTCCTCGTTGCAAGACGATTGAACGCGGCTCAATCCGGCTGCGTTCGCACCGGCACTCATTTCACTGCCGACATACCTCAGCCTGAGTCAATGATGGAGGCTCTCAACGAGGCAATTGATTTGAGCCGCAAGGGTTACAGTCGAGAGGCATACTTGACAGCCTTGGCTCTATCGATGAAGCTCTCACTCGCTGCAATGCTACCGACTGACCCAGCAGCGGACGATAGCACCGTCACTGCAGTGTCGCAGCTGCTAGACGCTGTACAAGCTTATGAAGTCGACTGTCCTTTCGCCGGGCTGATTCTCTGTTCCTCCCTTGGTCTGCGACTTTGGCAGTCGATCATGGGCGCGATCTCAGCCTCCGAACCTACGACAAAGCAGACGTTCGTCAGGAGACTCGGCCCGATCTGCGATGCCATGGGTATTCAATCTTGGGAGGATGCAACCAGTGTACTACAGAAACTGTTCTGGGTTCCTTCTATTTTGGATGCAGCAGGCCACAGGGTGTATCTCGAAGTGCGGCAAGCTTCCAGCGGGAGTGGTACATGATATATATCGAGAGCGTGGCACATCAAAAAACGCCGCATCTCGCGTGCTGCAAACACTGCCACGTGTATTGTACGGCGAGGCAGCAGCCACATTCGAGAGCTGCCTCACGCTCTTTGCACGAAGCGCACACCATGACTGCAAGCGTATGGTTCGTTCGTCCTGACCTGCATCAATTTATAGCACGGCAGCCCAAATCATATTCAGCGACACCGCTCAGTCCACACCTCGAAAGAAGCAGTAAACGAGCTCTTTCCGAGCGAAGACACACAAATCAACCCGGACAATGACTGGACAAATCATGAACTTGGACTGTGAGTACTATTGACTCCAGGAGATGCAGATTATCAGTGTCCCTCCTTCGATGACGCCTCACACCCATTGCTTGTTATTCCCAAAGTGCGAAACAAACGAGCCACCGTCACCATTCGCAGCGCTAGCCTTGTGGAACACGCCGAGTACCATCCGCACAGACTCCTCTGGTGAAATGGGTCCCTTGAAGTCAGGCGACGTCTTCGCCATCTTGGCGCCGAATTCCGCAACGGTCTTCAGCTCCTTTTCCGATACTACACACGACAAAGTTAGCGCTGCGTCCATCAGGGACAATGAAGGCGTCAAAGACTCACATTTGTCCGTATCCAGAAACCCATTCCCAGTATCAACCACACCAGGACTAATGCTTATGAGCATCACACCCTCCTTCGCATACTCAGCATTCAGCTTAGCGAGAGCAACGTTCATTGCTGCTTTACCAACCGCGTACGGTCCAGCAAAGTGCAGGTGAACGTTGTTAATGAGATCAAGGTCACCATGCCCGGAGGAGATGAACAATCCCTTCTTCTCCTTGCCCTTGAGCAGCAGCGGCATGAAGACGTTGAAGAGGTTGATATTGCCGATGACATTGGTCTTGAAGTCAGCGGCGAGCTCCTCTTCCATGACTTTGTGGTCTTGACCTAGCTCGCCGAGACCGACGAATGCGCTTGTCAATGCGAGACGACCACCGTTGGCGATCAAGTAATCGATGGCGCCGTTGGTGATTTTGGCGGTTGCGTCGCTTGCTTTCTTCAACGAGTCATAGTCATCCAGGTCGCCTTGGATTATGTGGATGTTGTCTCGGCCGATCTCTGAGGCGACTTTGGGTTGCACTGATTCGGGACTGCGGACTATGCCAATGACGGTGTTCTTTGGGTCGACGGAGAGCTGGCGGAGGAATTCGAAGCCGATGCCTTTTGAGGCTCCGTTGACGACGTAAGTAGCCATTTCTTTGGTTTGGTGGTGCGGACAAGAAGTCAGTGGACTTGTTGTGTGAGATGATGATGAACGCAGCTGTCTCTTGAAGATATATGCTCGTCTACGCTGGACCATGCAATAGCCTGCTGAGAGGCCAACGAATATATACGTATAATCGCAGGCACCAACGCCGAGCGATCGTGCAAGACATGCATTTCAAAGACTGAAGGCTAAGCAATGTGCTTACAAACAGTTGTCGAGGCCTTCGTCCGTGAGTTCGAGAGTTGCTCGGTCCTCCATTGCGTCGGTGGTAGCTTGCCTACCTACGTCGTAAGGGCGTTACTTTACGAGACCTTGCGAGTATACTTTAGTGGAGACTTTGTGGAGTCGTTAGCCAATATGCCAAGCATATTCAGAAACCAGATTGGGACAAGCCTGTTTGAATTGACATCGAGGAGCTTCATCGTCGCGCAAGAAAGCGGGAATGCGGCCACATCTATGATTCAAATTTGGAGCGCTCATGCAGGCACCAGATCTCATGCCCACCGGTTGCTTACATAAGTACGCACGGACAACTTGCTTGCGCCGCAAAAGGTCGTCCGGGGACTGCGGTCAACGGTCAATGGGATCCTCCTGTCGACAGTATCCAGGTCGGTAGACGACGAGGCCATGTCATCCGATGGACGTCAGGGAACAATTGAGTACATCTCGAAGCGCGTCATGGAGAAGCGGCCGACGATAACGGCAATGCTGAGGCACTGACACACGCGTACATTATGGAAAGCGATACAGTGCAGCCTGCGTTGGCAGACCTCGCACTTGCAGAGGCTGGAATCCGACGAGACTCATTCGACACCAAGTCAAGTGCAAGGACATGTATAGTCGATACCTGCATGTCATACAACTGCCAGGCCGCCGAGATTCCTTTCAATGTGGAGCTCAGCAGCCGTCTCTTGGCGATGCGGCTCCGACTGCGGCATGGCTTGCCGCATCTCCTGAATAAAAGCTGGTGCTGGTTCAGCTCACGTGTACCTACCGTTGGCCAACTTTCTGCTCTGTGTCATCGGCTTCGCCTGCACGTATGTCGGACAAATACACTTTCGAGAATTCATCTCATGGCCCAGCCCCATTCGCCGACCTGCTCTCCACATTTCTCCGTCATGCTGATGATCCAGCTTCCGCCAAGTATCTAGACATCTTCGCCGATGACGCGCAGCTGATGTTTGGCCCGGCACCAGCGGTAGGCAAGGAAGCTATTCGTATCGGACGTGAAGGTTCGTTCAATCCAGACACCGGGCCCATCATCGCCCAGCAACATCGATTGGGCAAAATTTTCTTTTCCCCGGGCGCCAATGCCGCAGGTGCTTCCGAGACACAGGAGGTTGTCGCCAATGGATCAGTCTCATACTGGCTCAAGTCGGGTCGACAAATCGATTGCACATGGGTCAGCTGGGTCACCTTCAAGGAGCAAGGCCAGGGTGGCTGGCGGGCAGTATACTATCAGGTCTACCTTAGCACCTCTGAACTTTTCGATGCAATCAAGGAGATGACGACTTGAGCCCCCAAACATGGGACACTAGTTCCATGAAGCTGGCCTCAATCACCGGGACGTCGCATTTCGCGGAATCCAAAACCGCATTCAGATATCACTATAAATTCCTGGCTATTGCCCGATCCTTCTCTGGCAGATCGAACGTGTCCACCACACTCTGCGAGAACGCTATCTTCCCAGCTTCAAAGCGGTAGAAACAGTGCTCATAGAAAGCCAGCTCCTTGCCGGGCTCTGGTTCGTACGTTATATTGGCCCGCACGGCCAGTTGGCCTTCGTCAAGCGCGTCAATGCTCCTTTCTAAAATCATCCAGGTGATCTCGAAGTGAAGCTTGGGAAGAAGTTGGCGGACCGACTTCACGTTCTCGATGGCGTCTGCTGGGGTCGATGGAGGAAAGCCGTTGAACACAAATCCGTCTTTGAGGAATGGGTCAAGGCTACCTGGCGGCATGTCTGAGTTGATGGTGTCGATGTACTGCAGGTATTTGGCCTTGATGTCCAATGCTGCGTCTCCTTCGTACCCAGTGTGGCCTTGGGGCTTGAAGCTCGATGCAAGGGAACTCATTGCACAGAAGCTGAGCCAGAGGAGAAGCGTGGTCTTCATCGGATTTGAGGTAAAATTCTGTTGCAGAGGCGGAAACTTGGTGGAATGCTCATGTACAAGGATAACAACAGAGGTGGACAGACTAGGTACTTTGCGTATATATCCTTTGCCGTACATGACTGACCTATATACACACAGAAAGCCGATCCCGTGGGAGACCAAGACTGTCACTCATTCTGCGGCGCACGTAGCCGCATTTCCGGAAGCACCAGGCCGCAGGATCTGAACGTACCTCATGATACCCGACACTACAGAACCGGATGTGTGGAGAGCTTGTGCCAGTAAGTCCAGGATGTTGTGCACGCAGTTATAGACTGGAGTACTTGACCACATTTTTGAGGTCCGATCGCCGACCATAGCGAACGACAGAGGGAACTGTCATCATGCCTGTCGCCATCGTCACCGGCGGTGCATCCGGAATCGGGCTAGCCATCGTCAAGCTGTTGGTGACAAAGTCCTATCAGGTAGTCATCGCCGACCGAAATGCGAAATTGGGGGAGCAAGAAGCTCGACAGCTCGGATCAGCCGATCAGGTTGTGTTCGTTGAGGTCAACATCAGCGACTGGACCAGCCAGACCCAGCTTTACGAGGAGACCAAAGCCACTTTCGGTCGCATCGATGTTGTCTTCGCGAATGCCGGATTCGGCGAACAAGCACCTTCACTGAATTCGATGCCTGTTGAGCTCGTCCAACCGGATACCAGCGTGATTGACGTTTGCTTCCGAGGGACGCTTTTCTCCATCTATCTAGCAATTCATTATATGCGCCAGAACAATGGAGAAGGCGGCAGGATCATCACCACTGGAGGTCAAGCTGGCATTTATGGGTTTCCGGTCATGCCTGTCTACTGCTCGACGAAAGCCGCTGTGAGTGAAGCGTCGTATGTAAGTCTGATATACTGACTGCAGCATACAGGTCCATACCATGTGTCGTTCGATAGCCCTCGATATGTCAAAGGAGAAGATTTACGTCAATAGCTTCTGCCCTGGCCTGACATTGACGCCTGTGACCAGGACCTTCCTTGAAGACCTGCCTCCCACCAAGGTGAGCCCGATGGAGAACCATATGAAGGCTGTCGAGCAGTTTCTCTCGACCGATGTGTTCGGCAAGATCATCGAGAGCGACGCAGGAGGACTATACAATCGTGAGCGGCCAGAACCGTGGTCGCCGGAGCATCAATCATGGGTGTATGTTCAAGAGGGTGTCGAGGTGCCACGATAAGTGTCACTCTACAGTTGGTGGAGAGGCGGCCGTATTGGTGGCTTGATACTAGACGGCAGACTTCAAATAGCAAACAGATGGTTGATATCGGCCGTTGAAGATGTCGAATGAAGACGTAAAGAGTATGTGCTTGTTCTATTTGCTCGAGAATGGCGTTTTCAAGACTCTATCACAATACCATTCGGAACCGCCGCTTCGATCCCGTTTGCAGCTTCCTTCGTAGTCCCATTAGTGACTCCAGTCTTATCCACTTCTTCAACGGCCTCGGAGAACTCCCATATCGGCAGGCGATTGCTATTATCTGCTCGGGCATAATACCAGGTCGAATCGGACCCGTCAATTTCAGCCAAATCGAAGCCGTTGCCCATGTAAGCAAATCGGTTGCCGTGGACATATGTAATGTCATAATCCTCGAAGCGAGGTACTTCGATCGACCGAAGTGAATGTGCTCTTGACCCAGGCCAAATAGCGGGCGTACCTTTCGCATCACCACCCTTAAACCACGACCGACAAGCTTCGCCCCAGACACCTCTTTCGAGATACTTGTCCGCGTGATTCTTGAAGTCTTGTGCTGCTTGCCACTTGGGCACGATCTCCTTTATAAAATCGGTCTGGAACTTCTGGATCACTTGCAGAAAGTAGTTGTTGGCATATTCGACGGTCTTGCTCGCGGACCCTTGCACGTAAGGGGCATAAGGTCCCATCGATACAAAGTAATTGGGGACGCCTGGAGTGGCTAGGCCCATATAGGTCGGCCGATCTGCCACGCCAATCTTTGGCGAGAGATTCTCGCCTCGCACATTCAGGGGAAATCGTGGTCGGAAGGTTGTAACGAACCCAGTAGCGCAGATGATGACATCCAGCTCGACATGCTCTCCGGTGTCACGTATCAAGCCGGTGGCGTCGGCGCATTTGATCCAGCCAGAAGCGAGCTTGACGTTGGGTTGCTGCAGAGCCTCAAGAAATCCTGTACCTGGCGTGGGCCGACGACAACCGACGGGAAAGTCGGTCGGAACCATAGCATCGATGATGTCTTGCCGTTGACCAAGGCGGTCCAGCATAGACTTGCGAGCCATCTCGTTGACCAATACCATTTCCGGCGAGCCCTTGATGTAAACCTTGAACAGGCCTGAAAGCTCTCGTTCGACCGATTTGACGTATTCCAGATAGTCTTCGGGATCGCTGGCGAAGCGCTTCTTCAATTCTTCCGTGTAGTTGAGGTCTTGTCCTTTGGGGTCTGCGAACTTAGTAGCCAAATGTGGTACGATCCACGTGGCGTGCGGTGAAACAACACCATTGACCCTACTTCTGGTACAATAGCTGCGACTGTCTGAATGGCAGAGCTTCCCAGTCCAATGACACCAATACGTTTGCCCTTCAAATCGATGCTTCTATCGTAGTTGCCCGTATGCGTTTTCTCTCCTTTGTATTCCTGAAAGCCTGCAATGTCAGGCCATGTCCAGTTGTTCAGGATGCCAGATCCCTTGATCAGGAAATCAGCCTCATCCGAGAAGATCTTGGAGGGGTCTTTGTTGGGCATGATCGTGAAGCGCCAGCGGCCTTTGTCCTCGAGCCAATCGCACGACAAGACTTCGTGCTGGTACTTGACGTACTGATCGAGCTCGTGCTCACGAGCAGTCTCCTGCAAATACCCACATATCTCAGGCTGGGTTGCGTAATACTTCTTCCAATTGGACTTCAAGTTCCTGGCGTGTTTGTAAGAATGGGTTAAACCCTCATGTCAGCATTTGATCTCACCATGAGTATTGATAGATCGAGATCGGCACGTCGCATGCACACCCCGGGTAACTGGAGACAACTGTCAGTTGCCTCTTGAGAGCAGGCAGGCATTCAGAACATACGTATTCTCATACCATGTCCCGCCGGCTGCAGGATTCTTCTCGTAGATCTGGAAGTCGATGTCCGGACAGCTCTTTGCCTTGTACGCAAAGTCGATCCCCGTCAGGCCAAAGCCGATGAAGACCACTTTCACGCGCCTTCTGACGCCCATTACCACGTCAGGGACCACATAGTCAGCACTCGCTGTGGCAGTGCTCCCGTTCCCCGTCTGAGCAGAGTCTGGCCGGTTGTCTGAGTCGTTGGAAGGCCTCGTCACCACCTTCGGTCCTTCAGCATTGGCATCGCTTTGCATCTCACTCATGTTCGCGTTTCTCAAATTGAATAAAGCACAGCCAATAGCGTTGGACCCGCAGGCTGGGTAGGTAGCGTGCTATGTCAAATTTGGACGTTTCTACTTGGAGCCCCTAATCGAGGACTCTTTAACGTTGGTAGGTCAGCTGTATCGATCTCGTCAGCGTGAGCGCAGCCATGAGACCGAGACCTTTCATTGTTCAGCATCCCAGGATGTCGGAACGGACCTCAGCCCGGGTCTGCAATGTCTCGAATAGACTGATCTCCGCGGTACCGTAGCATCAGCCTGAAAAGCAGCCCATACGGGCAGGTATTCCGCTTCGGTACCACACCGGATGCGGACTTCCGCATCCGAGTCAGGCAGTGGAGCGGCATGACAGAGTGCAGGAGTTCCTTGTCATGTACTTCATGTATTGCCTCTGCAGAATACTTGATGGCAAGGGGATGGCTGGACGGAGACCAGAGCCTAGATCCAGCTGAAGATATCACACGCCATCATGGCAACACGGGACCAATTGCTAGCTACAGCCTTGGAATTCGTGGAAAGAATTGATAAGGGCGAGTCGAAAAGTATCATCGATATTCGCGGTGAGAATTGTCAACACGAAGTCGGTCCCCCTTGCATGGGGGTGGCAGAGCCCATGTCAAATGAACAGTACAAATCCTGGTGGGAGGAGTTCGTCCCCAAGATATGGCCCAACGGGATGCGGTTCTACTTGGACTCGACACGCGCTCCCGTTATCGATGAGAGAAGCCGACACGTGGTCTTGTACTGCAAAAGTAGAGCATCGTCGTACAAGGGAGAATATGAGGGAAGATACATTATGAACCTCACCATCAGCGAAGACGGGAAAAAGGTGGACGACATCGTCGAATTTCTCGACAGCAAAACGGCATTGGATTATTCTGTGAAAGCCCTCCAGACAGCATAATCGGATCAGAGAGGTGGACATGGTTGTGACAGAAAGACACCACAACGCGCGGGTCTTGCGGGAACTTTGCCCGCACCGCAGGCCTTAGCAATTGGCATGCGGTCCGGCCTGCCCGTAAAGGCCTCAAAAGCGGCCTTGTATTCTAAAGTTGTTTGGCGTCTCCAATGCCAAGACATTCATCTCTGGCAGCGTGGAGGTGTGGAGACACCCTCCAGGGCATGTTAGTGTTGACATTGACGTTGCTTTCAATCCTAAAATGAAGACCTGCTTCCTCTCGCTAGAAGTAGGCGTCTAGACGTCCATATGTCCTCGGCTTGTGTGTCAGTAGCTCAGGGAGAGCTGGTCGCATCGATCGCGCTGGTCAGGATCGAAGCTTGGCCACACACCTAGTCCCAAGCCCTCACAGGAAAACCCGCATTTAGGCTTCCACCTCGGATCCCGTCTTTGGAGAACAAACATGGGGTACCTCACGCCTGGACCCCTTCTTCGCCACAATGGCTTGAAGCACGAAAGAGGGTTGGAGGTAGCCTACACATCTGACGCCTCCTAGTCAGGCTTGATCTGGAATACCCTGGCCAAGTCGTATGTCGCAATTACCAATGTGTTTGTAGGCGATGCTTTTGACGCCGTGATTCATGTCGCACCGAAGCATGCCTGGCCGAATCTCTTCCCTTCTTGTCCGAGTCCTTATAGATTACAGAATCACTCATGAGTCAAACACAAGAATCTTTCGTCGATCTCACTCACTCCGCGAAGAGGAAGCGTTTAAATCAAGCTTGTAATCACTGTCGAGTCGGAAAGCGGAGATGCGACGGTCTGAGACCTTCGTGTACCTCTTGCGCCAAAGCGCCTGTCCCAAGGGATTGCGCGTACGATGCCTCCGATAATGTCAGAGGGAAGCAGACAAAGTGCGTCCTCCTTTCTCCTTCTGAAGATCGTGGCGGATTGATCTATCTGTTATACAGGCTTCTGGAACAGATGCAGCAGCGGATCGCGGAACTCGAACGTGCTGAAGAATCGCGGAAGAACACAAGTCCAGATAGTCGTGATACACCTGTCAACCCTACAGCACCAACGCTTTCCAATGGCTGCACTTCTGGTAATCAGACCTTCTCGGAACTGAATCAAAACATGCATCAAACTGCGGACACAGCTTCCCAACCACTCGACAGTCGACCTTTTGGAGGGCTATCATATGGAAATGCTATGTCGAGGCCAGTAGGCCCGGTACGCTTTGCGACCGACTCGGATCAGATCTTGTCACTTGCACAGAATCCGCGTCTCGTCACCAGTGCCCAGAACACCACTGCCATTAGCCACTCCTCCAGCACAGATGGGCCAGAGGATACTGCGCTGAAACACGCCGAAACATTACCGCCAAATGATGAGATCGGGGTTGTCGCACCACGCTTCGGATACTATGGTGATTCGAGTGCGTTGACGTTTATGAGCCAAGTGCGCAGCGTACTTGACCATGCCGAAAGCGGTGCAGGTAATCTTGAGAGCGAGCCATCAAGTCCCGCTGCGGCGCCTGTGGCTCCTACGTCGACAAACACACGGCCAAACAGGAACCTCGCGGGTTTCCAGCGAGCAGCCGACCTACAGTTGTATGCGTTGCCCAGCAGGGAGCACGCAGACGCTCTGCTCGAGGGTTACTGGGCATGGGTACACAATCTTCACCCCTATCTCGACCGGACGCACTTCTCGGAGAGATACGAAAGTATCTGGGGTGCTTCTAGGGCAGCCAACAGCGGAAGGGGGCCCGAGCATCATTCGTCGACATCTCAAGCGGCCAGAGATGCTGACCGAATGACCAAGGATGAACGTGGAGACAAGAAGACTTTCTACTGTACTCTGAATATCGTCTTTGCCCTTAGCTGTCAATTTGATCCTACTCTGGACCCTGCTGGATCTGGGATGAGCGACATTTTCTGGCAACGAGCGAAAACACTGATTGAGCAGGACTTTAACATTTTCAACAAAGGCAGTATACCTCTGATCCAGGCACTATTGCTATTCTCGGCGTATATGCAAAGCACGGAGCTTTCTGGGGGTTGCTGGCTCACCTGCAGCGCGGCAATAAGTGTCGCTCAGATTAACGGACTGCATGAGGTGCACTCCGGGGTCCCCCCAGGGTTCAAGTCGCAGAAAGAGCTTGATCTACGCAGGAGGGTGTGGGGCGGCTGTATCATGCTTGATCGGTAAGGATTTGTCGAGTATCTTCGAGAGAAGTCTTCCCATGTATCTGATGTCCCTGACAGATCACTATCCATGATATATGGCCGTCCTTCAATTATGACTTCCCGAACTTGGGTCGGTCATCATAACCGACTTCACAACCACGGCCTGAGTCCCAACCATAGCCCAATCAAGACGAGGAGCCCTGATGATTCTTTTGAGTACCCCGAGTTCTTCCACCACAATGTGCAGCTCCACAATATTCTAGGAGCCATCCTTGCCGAATTCTACGAGAGACCTCCAGACGAGGAGGAAGACCAGCCTCCGCCTCTTCGTAATGCCACAGGCTCGAAGAGAGATGCCTTCCATGCTACTGTCATGATTCGGCGGATCAATGATGGCGACTTCCAGTCCCTCTTACAGTTCGACACAGCCTTGCTACAATGGAAATCGCAGCTTCCTGCCCAGCTCAGATTCCCATTCGACAGCGAGATCGGCGATCCTCAGTCAAACAACGTAGTCGACACAGAAGTCGCGCATCGACAAGCCGCTGTCATGCATGCGCGGTAGGTCTAGGTCTAGTTCATGACCGATGAAGAAGCTGACACGATGCTTAGGTTCTGGCACATTCGCATTCTTCTTTTCCGGCCACTGTTGCTGCGAACTTTGGCCGACTTTCGCCGGCAGGCACGGCAGAGCGAGACCAACGATGAGCAGAAGTCGACTTTGCACGAAGGACTGTTGGTGCAATCGTCGGTTCTGTGCATTTCGGCTGCGCAGGAATTAAGCCGGCTGATTACAGAAAACCTGGAAAAAGAGACTGATCTGCTACCCGAATGGTGGCACGACATCTTCTGTAAGTGCATAAAGCTGTCATTTTTCGAGTATCTTGACTCATATTTCACAGATCTGTACACCTGTGCGACGGTAATTCTGGCTAGCCGTTCATGTCCTCCTTTGCAAGACAAGATTGGTGACAAGGCATTGCAGGCCTGCTGGACGCGATGTTTGTATGGACTGCGAGCGTACCAGGAGAAGAGCCGATCAGCTAGACGCTGCTGCAGGATTCTCGAGATGTTCGACCAACGAGATTCAGAGACTAGGCCAAGTGGTGAGAATCAATGAGGATCTGAAGTTTCGAGGACCTTGCTAACTCTAGTGACCAACGCAGCCTCCGTACCAATACCGACTGCCAACTACAACGCGGCTTCGAGCCTCAACGTAGTGGGACAGACTGATGCCTCAGACTTGGAGAATCTGGACTATCATGGCATGCCACACGCTTCTCTGCCCCCAGACGGACAAAACATGTGGGCTTTTGACGACTTCCATGACGTGCCCGCCCACTCAGTCGATGCGTACTTCACCAATTGGAGTCCCAACTCAACTAATATGGCCTTCCTCACAGCTATACCATTTGAATCTGGCCAACTCCCGCAATAGATGAGATGGGCAACACATGAGATGGGCAAAAGACGTGTGAAAGGCCGCAGTTCGAACCTCTCAGGGCCTTTATGTCTCTATCGGACACGACACGATACACTCGGTGCTCTTTGAGATCGAGAACAGCAGATATCAGATGACCTTGCCTGGTGGCATACCAGTGCTGCTCGACTATGTGATACCAACATGTACTTTACAAAAGTCAATCTACCTATGTCATGACCGCACCTCCAGTCACGTTGAACAGCTGCCCGGTGATCCACTCACTCTCAGGACTGGCAATGAAGCTGACCATATGGGCTACATCCGAGGGCAGACCCACTCGCTTGACAAACTGGCGATCCAGGATGGAGTTGAACACAGCTCGGGACCCTGCATTGGACCATGTACTCTCATTGAAGATCATAGCCGGGCAGACTGCGTTCACAGTCACGCCTGGACCTGCTTCGGTTGCAATGGCTCTCGTGAAGCCAGTGACGGCACTCTTGGCCGCTGTGTAGATTGACATGCCAGCAGAAGGAGAGAAGATGGCGGCAGTGGAAGTGTTGATAATTCGACCGTATCCAGCCCGCTGCATGTGTGGAAGTACTGCCTTGGTCAAGTGGAACGTGCTGGCCATGTTGACATCCATAATGCGTGTGTAGTCCCCAAAGGAGACGTCAGCTATGGGAATGAAAGGATAGATCCCTGCCAGATGCACAAGCACATCAACTTTGTTGTGAAAATTGACAACGTCCTTGACCAGTGCATGCACCGCGAGCTCGTCGGTCATGTCGGCGGCATGATGTGCGCTCTTCAGTCCACGTGAATTGAGCTCATCCGCCAGGGTTTTCAGCTTAACACCGTCAATATCGACGAGGATTACCGTCGCTCCTTGTTCCGCGAACAAAGTGGCTGTAGTCTTGCCGATACCCTGAGCAGCTCCAGTGACAAGCACGACATGGTCCGCGAACTTGTCGGGATATGTCTTGATTGCAGGTATGTTTGCTCCTGGCTGAATCCTGGGTGGGAGTCCGTCATCAGCCATGACACTTGGTGATGAAGTCTTTGCCAAGCGATGCGTGTGTCGCACGTGACTCGGGCAGATATAAGTCCGGCTGACACCAACAGTCGCAGATGACAATCTCAGCTTCTTCACGCCATGGGGAGGAATATTGAACCCCAGGAGACGCTCCCTACAGCTGGAGTATATACGACCGGCTGGATATCGTCCTACTAATGACACCATCGCCGCTGATACGGTGCGCGACGGTATTGCGATAGCTGTCTGGTAGTCGGTCAAGTACTTGGTCGTTACCTTCAAATACCGAGGTAGTGTTTGCAACTTCTGTCGCTGTCCATATCGCCTGGGATTCTTCGGACGAGCCGGGCTTTGAACTCCTTTGCCCGAACTAGCTGCATGCGCCTTGACCCATTTTCGGATGTAGACGCCAGCGGCTTCGTCGGGCCCGCAGTTATCCAGAAGACTTTGCCGTGCGGCTCATGTGCCCGCACAGCATGGGGAAACTGGACTCACACCCGCTTGTCAGAAATCAAGGCCTTACAGCCTCCAAGCAGAGTCTAGACCTCTAGAATTCGCTAGTCGACCCGGGGTGAGTACGGGGCCCCAGACTGAAGTCCACATACCATGCCGTACGGCTCACAGAACATGCGAGGGCCATGTGGAACAGGCATAAGTCAAATATATGAAGCCGACAATCTCGCAATGGTCTTCTCACACTCCAAATCAGTTCCTTGCTGACCAATACCTCCCTAAACGAAACTCTTCCTGAGCCACGTCGACTCGAAGCACCATGGCGGTAGCAGACGCTCATGTTGCTGATGGCAGCGAAAAGACTGGGCATGTCCTTACTCAAAGTACGACGCCTGTCGAGAAAGACCCCAACGCTTCTCAGGTTGAGGATGCTCACCATGACGCCGACGGCAATTTGATCTACAGCGAGGTCGACGTTGAACCGGAGATCCACTGGCGCACGTGGGTGGCTCTCATCGCTGTCTGGCTGGTCAACTTCACCTATTCGCAGACCACAGCTGGTCCTCCTGCCCTGGTGAGTACCATTACCATCGACCTGAGGGAATTACTTGCTGAAAGCCTTTTAGTTGAGCTTCATCGCGGCCGATCTGAATTCGGGTGCCATGGCTAGCTGGATCCTCACCTCAGCTTCCATTTCCAATGCAGTCCTATCACCCATCCTCTCTGTTGCCTCGGATACATTCCAGGCTCGGAAGGAGATACTGGTCGGATGTTGCATCATAGCCTTCATCGGAGCTGCAATCGCTCCTGGTTCACAGAGTACCTGGCGCCTGATTTTCGCCATGACACTCCAGGGCGTCGGAGTTGCGTTATGCTCGGTTGTCTACACTATTCCCGCAGAGATCCTGCCGCGTCGATGGCGACCAAGTAAGTACCGCATCTGCGTCTTCGACGTGAATCGTCAAGCTGATCACAAACGTCACATCAGTGGCTCAAGCCGTTCTCTTAGCTGGCGCCGCTGCATCTTGCATGGTGGCGCCACTGAGTCTAGGTGGGATGATAAAGGCATACGGCCAATCTGGCTGGCGGAAATGGTTTGTACGTTGCAAAGCTATCACCATCATGTTGTATCAGCGCTAACAGTCAAATAGTGGTATCAGACCGCTCTGTGGGGATCAGCAACCATTTGTTTGATCGTTGGATATCGACCACCAAAGCGCCAGACTCGATATGACCACCTTAGCATCCGGAAGAAGTTGATGACTCTGGATCTGATTGGGTTCTTCCTCTTTACTGCTGGCCTGACCCTGCTCATCAGTGGCATCAGTCTGGGAGCAGGCGAGTTTCCTTGGGGGAGTGTCTACACAGTAGCTCCGTTGGTGGTTGGCATTGCCTGTCTCGCCGCTTTGGGCGTCTGGGAGTGGAAAGGCACCAGTACTGGCATGATACCACATGCCATGTTTGGTGCAGGCGACCATAGCGGTCGAAGATTTGTCTTCGGCTGTCTGCTCATTTGCTTCGAGGGGATTCTTCTCTTCGCTATCACGGTCTTTGTTCCAATACAGTTTGTGTCGTCCATATCCCTGCGGAGATGATCTGCGATACTGATACATGTCCTTAGATCGCAGGTCCTCTTTACAGGCGACCCTGTATTGATCGTCGCAAGACAGGTGCCGTTCTACACAGCAGCTTTCATCGCCGCCAACCTCAACGGCTACATCAGCACTCGGCTGAGGACGATCAGATGGCCGTTGATGTTCGGCTACCTGATGTTCGTCGTCGGCATTGGGGCAATGATCTCGGTGCGTCCTGGACAGGGTCTCAATGCTCTTATCTTCAACGCCATTGCAGGCCTAGGTCTCGGCGCGCCCCTGGCACTGGTCTTCACTGCTGTCCAGCTGGCAGTACCACACAGTGTCCTGGCGACGGCGACCGCACTGGTTGCTTCCGCTCGCGCTATAGGCATCTCGGTCTTCACAGCCATCTTTACCGTCGCCTTGAACGAGTCCATGGCGTCTAAACGAGCCAATCGGCTTCCTCCGGCCGCAGAGGCTGCGGGCGTGCCCCCTGCCGTCATTCCCGAATTCATCACCGCCATTGTCTCCGGCAACTCGAGTGTGACCACTATTCCTGGCGTGACCACTCAAATGATCTCAGCTGGAGTACTGGCTTCCCAGAATGCTACGGCCGACGCGCTCCAAATCGTGTTTGCTATCGCGGTCCCTTTCGGTGTCATTGCGATCCCAATGTCATATTACCTTGGCAGTTATCGAAAGACGATGAACTACATTGTCGAAGCACCTATTGAGGAGCTTCACTCCAAACAACCAGCTGGGAAGTAACATCGCAGCAAAGAGAGTTATAGTTGTGATGGCCGCCCAGGAAAGGGCTGGCACGCCATTGTGGTCACATGGTTCACCGCGGGACTTGGCGTAACCTCCAAGCACATCGATACCTATAGACAGCCGACGACCCTAATGACTATACTTTGTGAGAGCTGCATGTCTATGCTCTTGACCGAAATGGCATTTTGCGCCTCACTATTTGAGAGTTTAGTAGGCATTACACAAGTATTGCTAGCCACTGCTTCCGACTTGAGCTTGGGGAACATATGCTACCAGAGCAGGACAGGCTTAATGACCTTCCCAGAAGCCATTTCCGCACAAGCCCTCCCGATATCGCGCACTGGGTACTGCTTCTGCAGCTTCTCGATTGGAAAGGTGCCTTCCGAATACAGCTTGGCCATCTGTGGTATGAACTGCTCTCGTTAGTAAGGGGTCAAATGAGGTTGCGCTTCGCCCCTCTGCATACTAACCTCCTTGGAATATGAATTGCCCTGATGACAGCCCACGTACGACTGGCACTTTATTAACAAGTCGAACACATCCAGCGCGAATTTCGTGCCCGGCGGTGGCCCACCCACTTGCACAGCAACACCGCCCACACTGAGGATAGAGAACATATCGGCAACAACTTCCGAGACACCTGTGCAGTCGATAGCTGCGTCCACTCCGTTGCTTGTTATGGCCTTGAGCTCGTGTAGCAAATTATTACTGCGACTGTTGATAGTGAACGTAGCCCCCAGCTCCTTCGCTATAGCCAACCTCTCGTCGTTGATATCGATGGCGATTATGTGGTACTGACTCCCCGTAGTGTTCCGCAGATGACTAGCAGCCATTACCGCCGCACAGCCCACAGCGCCGACCCCAAAGATGGCGACATGCTGAATGTTCCGCTCGGCTGGCCTGACCACATTGAAGACGGCCCCAGCACCTGTTTGAAAACCACAACCTAATGTACAGATAACTTCCAGCGGAAGTGTCTCTGGCACTTTTACACACGAGACCTCACGAACTATGGCCGGATTGCAGAACGACGACTGCCCGAAGAAACAGGTGCTGAATGCGTCTGTGGGTACCCAAGAGCCGTTTTCGTCCTGGACGTGTGTGATAGCTGAGCTTCCGTCCAGTCTCTTGCCACCAAATTGTTGTAAAGTGGCTGTTTCGCATTGATAAGGCTTTTTCGCGAGGCACGCTCGGCATTGTGCGCAGGAAGCGTACGACAACACGACGTGATCTCCTGGCTTGTATGAGCTGACTGCAGTGCCGACCTCCCGTACAACGCCGGCACCTGCGATCACACGTCAGAAAGTTTCGACACATGCTGGAGTGAGCAAAGACGTTGGCGCACCTTCGTGGCCGAGGACTACTGGAAATTGCATAGGGATCTTGCCATGTTGGACTGCAAGATCTGTATGGCAGATACTGGTGGCACGTAGATCCACGAGTACCTCATCGTCCCGCAGTTGAGATAGCCGTACTGCGGTCTCCGTGAAAGGTCCGCCCTTCTCGTGAACAATGAAGGCGGTCGCGGTTACTGAAGCCATTTATAGCTCATTATCTGGGCATGAGAAGCCTTGGGACAGGCCTCCATCATTGCTTACATAGCTGCTCAAGAGTTACCTGCCTAGCGTATCCCAGGATCCACTTTCAATGGTGGTCCTCCACCACTACCTAGAATGCCTAGACTTTCATGGATGCGGAAGCGCCTTGTTGTGTCAAGCGGAAGGGCCTGCCGCAAGTCTTGGCGCATATCACCGAACCAATCGGAGTTGTGCCGCATCACAAGATGGCGTTTTTTCTTCAACGACGTCCAACCCTCACTTCTGTCACTGCTCTATCAATTATCCCATGTGATGACTTTGGTCTGTACCCATTCCATCAAGCCTTCATCAGCGTTAAACCTGCCGTAGCCGCTGGCTTTTGTGCCGCCATGCGGCAGGCTCGCCTCATCATGAATGGACATCGAGTTGATGTGCACCGCGCCCGTGCGATAGCCCTTCGCAATTCGAAGCGCTTTCCGCAAATCATTGGTAAAGATTGCTCCCACCAGACCGTACTCTGTGTCATTTGCTATGCGTAACGCTTCTGCTTCCGACGCGAACGTATGCACAGTCAGAATGGGCCCGAACGATTCTTGGTAGTAAATGTCCATATCGTCTTTAACATTGCCCAAGATTGCAGGCTGAAGAGGTGAGTGCTCTTCATTTGTGCTCTTGTCAATTGCCTGCTGTAGTAGACTTGTTGCACCCTTACGCAGCGCGTCAGAGACGAGCGACCGGGTCTTCTGAGATGCAGCGTTCGAGATCAGGATGGGATTGCCAATCCATGCAAGGTTGCGATCAGCCTTCAGTGCCGCAAAGGTGTCCTGCAGCACTTGCGTGAACTTTGACGCGATCGAGGCTTCGACGAGAACGCGTTCGGTTGCCATACATACCTGACCTGACTGCGCGGATCAGCATCGCATGTAATACATGTACGCCTTGACTTACGTGCAACAGGCCCCCAATCAAGATCTCTTTGGCCGCCTTCGCAAGATCTGCATCTTGAAAAACAATTGCGGAAGCTTTGCCTCCAAGTTCGAGGAGTACAGGCTTCAGGCACTCGGCAGCCATGCGTGCAATGACTCGACCTATGGCTGTACTGCCGGTGAAGCTTATCTTTGCTATGGCTGAGTGTTTTATGAGCGCCGTCGTCACTGCAGAAGCATGCTCGGGTGCAACAAATATGAGGTTCAAGCACCCAGGCGGGAGGCCGGCCTCGTAGAAGATATCAACGATCAATTTGAAGGACTTCGGAGACATCTCCGATCCCTTCACAACCGCTGTGTTACCCATCACCAGCGCCGCTGCGAAAGATCGCGTTCCGAGGATGTATGGGGCGTTCCTGTACCATAAGAATGTGCTAATCGGTAGGCAGAGTTGGATCACTTACCACGGTGCGATGCCGAGGACTACTCCATAGGGAGCCTTCAGAACCAGAGCACTCCTACCGTCATCTTCGACTGAGGGCGATTTCCCCTGGATAGTAACTGCCCGTCCAGCAAGGTCGCGCAGCTGCTTTACAGTCGCATGGATGTTGAAGTCCACAAAGGCATCATCTGCACCGACTTCGGACATCATGGTCTGCTTAAGTTCTTCTTGATGTTGCAGCATTAAGTCGGCAGCGCGCTGAAGGATCTCTGCCCGTTTTCGCACATTGACAGCAGACCATGACTGCAGGGCGATGCTGGCCGACTCCACAGCTTGCACGGCATGAGTAGTGGTGGCACTTGAGTAGGTCCACAGGCGTCGATTTGTCGCGGGATCTATGACAGGACGCTGGTCATCGGACGATACTGGGTCGCCGTTGATGATCAAGTCGACATGCTCGGCATTGGTCTTCATGTTAGCGGTGTATTCGTGCATAGCACATTGATGGGCGTATTTTCGTCACACACCCAGCCTCGGGCAGTATGCTGAGCTATACATTGTACACGGATCACGCGTAAGGCAATGTATTCGATTGCATTCCCCGAACTGGCAGTCATGTTACTAGCTGCTTCTTGGTCTCTTACAGCGAGCATGGATCCCGGCCGCGGGACTGCTGGATCGTCGGCCGAGCAGTGCTGTGGAGGATCAACCACTCGGACCCGGACTCCGCACGTACCCTCCGCAGAGCCAAACCATCGGCCCATGTCGTACGCACCACGTGCATCCCCGGCTACACGCCTAGGAAGCGAAATGCGATCGAGGCATGGCTGTGCATGATTCTCTTTGAATTCGCAAGCGTACGACGAACACATCTCACCTCGGCGCACTGATGCAGAGCAATCAGGTATTTTGACATCATGACATATGGACGATTGATTCGTTTCCTGGACGAAGATTCAGTGGAACACTATGGTGAACCTATCATCGACCATGCTGACGACCTGCTGGTCCGGGCTTCCGAGCAGATATTGCAAGCGACAGTACTGACGGGAACTTCCATCTTCACACTGGACAGCCGGACCACCGGAACAAAGAAAGTCGCACAAATACTGCCGCTTCTGACTTCGAGCGAAGTCCCACTGATCCGGTGCATTGGGCTGAATTATCTCAAGCATAGTAGGTCAGCTGTATCGGCATTTGGGAAACGATATTGATCAAAATGTACAACAGTCAAGGAAGGCGGCCGTTCACCGCCTCCATACCCTTCAGTGTTCACTAAGCCATCGACAAGCATCGCGTCCTATAACGAGGATATCCCAATACCTTTCATTGCTCAGCATGACCAGCTCGACTACGAAGGCGAGCTGGCCATACTGATTGGCAGGACAGGGAAAGACATCAGCAAAGCAAACGCCCTCGACTACGTCGCAGGCTACGCCGTCTCCAACGACGTAAGTGCAAGGACCTGGCAACGAAAACCCGAGTACGCCGGGCCGGTGCCGCAGTGGGATTTCAGCAAGGGTTTCGACAAATTCGCACCGCTTGGTCCCCTTCTCGTCTCACCGAGCTTGGTCAACGAAGCAAGCGGCCTTCGACTGCAGACCTGGGTAAATGGAGAGCTTCGTCAGGATTCGGACACCAGTGATATGTTGTTTGGTGTTCGGGAAATTGTTGCGTTCATCAGTCAAGGGACTACTTTACAGCGAGGTACTGTTATCTTGACCGGTACACCTGCGGGTGTTGCCATGGGCATGAAACCACACCCGCTCTATCTTAAAGATCAGGACGTGGTCAAAGTACGCATTGAGGGGTTGGGTTTCGTGGAGAACAAGATGGTGTTCGAGAAGAGGGCATAGACTTTTGACCAGCAAAACATATGAAGCCCGGTTTGACAAGATATGGATGCACCATCTTTCAAGACGACCTGCCTTTCCCCAGGACTATCATGTCACATAAAGACCTCTATCAACCACAAGGCGATGTCAATGCGTCAACGATTGGCCTATCGTTGATAGCAAACAAATATGCACTGCCAGACTCCAAAGTGCAAGTATGCGTGACCTTGCTCCAGCAGGGAACAGCAAATGTGTCCTTCGCTTTCCACTCGATGACACTAACCTCACTTGTGCGGCCGTTCGCAATGGACGTGAACCCTTGACCAGATTTGACATGGTACACGTACGAATAGCATTCCTGGCTGACGGCCGTCGTGTGACCAGCGGATACACGTTCCGCCTGCGCGGAAACTGTTTTAGAGAGGTGTAACCCGTCACTGCGACGGTACAGATGAAGAGCATGAAGACTCTTGTCCTGATCCAGATGCTTCGCAACAGCGTCCCAGGGGAAGCGGTTGTGTGAGTTCGGTGCAGGTCTGCTGGGATATCTCGACTCTTCGTAATGCTGAAGGAAGTTCGCCGGCAGAAACTGCCAAAGAGGCAGGTCTAAACCGTCCAGCCAGATAACAGGCTCAACACCCTTGTTGCCATGATCGTGCCACGTCCAGCTTGGTGTCAAGATCACATCGCCTGGAAACATCTCCATGTTCTCGCCTTCGACAGCAGTAAAGCCTTGCGAGCCTTCAATGATGAACCGCAGTGCGAACGCTCTGTGTCGGTGCGCCGGAGCCACTTCGCCTGGGGCAACGATCTGCAGACCCGCATAGATGGTGTCAGTTGTAAAGGGTGCAGCCATGGATCTGTTGACGAGAACCAGTACTCGACGCTCCGCGTCCTCAGCAGCCACAGTATCAACTGCTGCTAGGAGCTCGTGCTTCATGCTCTGGTAATGCCACGCCGTGGGTTGGGCCTTGGGGTCCGGTAGAGGGGGGACCATCCGGTGCATCATAGTCCAAAGTGGCGCTACATTGAGCCCTTCGTGCTGTCCAGTGCCCGAGGCTGGCAGCACGTCACTGACATACGAGCTTCGATCCTCCATCGTAGTTGAGGTAGGATAGCGTTGCTCCGTTGCGGTGCTGTTGAGTTGCAAGATCACGGTCTGCGACGATTGTTCAATCGGTGAGGCGGCCAGATTCGATGTGAAGGTATCTCGACTATCCACCTAGGTAGTTGTGACCACCCATTGGAAGCGTGAAATCTATTTGCTGCGGTAGGCGCGGCCCGGCCGTGAATCTAGCGGCTCAGTAGTGCCCGGGTACCTGGCCCGATACCGCATTGTCCATTCAAACGTGCCATAGTCAGAGCATCCAGCACTTCAGGGCGCGGAAGAGCTTCTGAGACTGAGAAATAGCGTTGAGACTCGTTGAAACGCTCTCTAAGCCCGGTTCACGAGGGAAATGCACGCAGCAGAACCCTCATCGACTCGAGTCGTTCCAGAAAGCGACAAAATGGCAGGTACCATTGGTATCGTCAACACAGACAACCCGGCCGTTGAGGATGTGATGCATGGAGCATGTCTCTGTGGTGGTGTCACTTTCCTTGTCCACCAACAGCCACAGAAGCTGATGATATGCTACTGTTCCCATTGTTCTAAAAATGCCGGAGCGCCCGGCCAGTACGTAAGTGACACCCAGGCCATAGCGGAGTTGAGGATGCTCAATGGGAAATCAGCTAGCCAAGTGCTTGCAATCTGATGTAGAAGTCAAAACCGGTCAGGACCTGTTGAAAGCATACACCCTGCACGACACGAGCAGCGGGCATGCCAAAGATAAGGTCTTCTGTGATACATGTGGCTGCACACTGTGGACAGTCCCATCTAAGGAGGCTGGGCGGTATTGGATCCTGCGCATCCCACTTCTGGAGAACGGGTGAGTGTGCCAGCATAGTTCATGAGTTACGCGGATGCTGAGTACACAGATTGAAACAATTCATCCCGGAGACGGAGCTCTTCGCTCACAAAAAACCAGCAAAGGCGTGATCAGATGGACGAGCATCGATCAACGCCGGATATACTGACGCTAGATGTTCTTTACGGCCAAAATTCTGAATACAGCTTCGCGAGTCGAGGTAGCAGTTTCAACGCATTCAGCCTGACGATCTTTTCCATATCTTTGTTATCAAACAGCCCAGATTCCTTAGGAGCGTCGTATCCGTCTAGATATGTGGTATTGTCGTATCGTTTGGTGTATGGAAAGTCCGTCGCATATAGCAGCTGATCGGTAGACATTCCCAGGTTCTTGATCAGTGCGTACTGCATCGGAGACGAAATGCTCGTGTCGAAGTAGATCTTCTTCGTACTCAGCAGCTCTCTTGTCGACAGTCCTTCGTTGGCTTTCACGACAATGTTGTCGGTGTGCTGCTTGCCGATGCGGTCTGCCAGGTATGGAAATGCGCCTCCATTGTGCGAGAAAATGAAGTGAATGTTGGGCGTGCGCAGAAGGGTGCCCGAGCTGATAATGCTCGTAATGGCACGGCAGGTGTCGAAGGGAAATTCTTGAACGACTTTCACGGAGACTTAGCTACACTTATCGACGACAGGCGTCAGCCAAGAGCACTTACAAGGCCCGAAGTTGAGGCCAGGTGGCATGATCGTGTCTGCTGGGTGGATGAATATCACCGATCCGAGCGCGTCAAGTTCTTTCCATACTGGTTCGAAATCTTTATCGCCCAGGTATCGCTGTCCTAGAGCAATGTTAGACTTGTAGGAGAATCATGTGGTTGAGACTTGTACGTACCCATGGCAGTGGTGACCGCAAAGCCGTCAGGTCGAGGAGACATGGCTTGCGTCTCACGCACAAATTCGATGGTCTCATGGATGTGAGGTAGAGGAAGCATAGCGAAGCAGCCTGTATTCAAGTGTCAGCCGTCTAGTCCTCCAAAACTCCTGACACATCCTACCGAATCGTAACGGATTATGGGACACATATTTCATCTGTGATTGAAGGGAGCGTCGGCACAGGGATGCAAACTCCGCAGGTGAGAAAGTGCTGTGCCATTCTTGCTTGATCGATGGGGCCTGGCCTATCTGATCAGTTCTCGACGCTAATGAATGTCTCAGAATGACAGACTATCACTGCCGTTTGGATACCGACTTCATCCATGTACACCAAGTGCTCTTCGGCGCTCTTGGGAAATGGAGTGTAGTTCAGGTTGTATGAATTGTTCTCGAATTCTGATTGCAGCTCCTGAATTTCTCCGGGAAAGCAGTGGTGATGGACATCAATGCGTCCAGGTCCGCTGAAGCTCTGAGATGGCCTAGGAGCTTGGTCTGCAGTATTGCTTCCCATCTTATAGAATGTTATGCCGCAGAAAAGTTCAGGCTTCCAGTGTTTTTGCAGAGCAGCAGTGTTGAACCTACTCACAGCAGTAGTATTCCCATTAGTTTTGCGCCTGGCTTTATATCGATCATCACATTGCTTCCTCGACTGCATTCGCGGTCAGCTGGCGCAAGGCATACTATCAGGCACTGTAATCTGTGTATGCACGTGCCCAACAGTGCGGAAGCGGGATCTGAGCTCCGTTTGCCAAGAACTCGGGCACTGCGGAGGGACGTGCCGGTAGGAAAAGAGTCGAAAAGATCACTGTGATCATCCTGACCTACTCGCAAGCTTTCGAGACATGAATAGTGTGCAAGGATGTTGTAGACACAGAGTACACCTGTCACACGAGCGTTGATTCCGCATCGCTTCAGCACTTGGAAACAAACCCATAGCCTGTCGCACCACGCGTTGACATCCATGTCCGGCAATGCCACCGAGTCAGCACTCTCTCAGGCATGCTAGGCCAACGATGGCACCAAGCCGAACTAGTTCGGGTGGTCCAGTAAACATTTATCATAGAAAGCAGGCAAAGACTTTGTTGCAACAGGGTGCAAGGAGACACTGGCGTTCTCCGAGGTTCGTCGAGTGCAAATGAGTCGTTTCAGCTGCCACTTTGGCGACTAGATTTTCCCTGCTGCCTCGCCCACACGAGACAACGAGAGACGGGACAAGCATCGTTAAAAGAGGTCGGCACAAGTACAAAAAAATGCAGTCGGTCTGTGTGAGCGACAGTAAGCACATGCAGCCCTGGAGTGTGACAGAGAAAGAGGATGATGTCACTGAAGGTAGGCACGTGACCTTGGACCAAATGATCTAAGTGTGGACTCCGAGTCCGAGTCACTTGGACACCTGCAATCGTCAACCTCGTAGCGTTCTACGACAATTACTTCGCGAGAAAGATCAATTTAGTCCACAGCTCACAAAGAACCATCCTTCAAGGCCTGAATGGTGGGCTTGATCGTCTCTTGGACTGCCTTCTACGAATTAGCAAGACAAACGGCGTAACGAGGAAAGCGTGACCATAACATGTCCGAACTGCCCTTCTAGGCACGCCAATGGGTGGGAACAGCAAGGGTAGATTGGTAGGTTTGCCACTGAGCCAGAGAGAACAACCGTGTGGCTCCCAGGCTGAAGCCTAATTATTCCCTGCAGATCCTGGCTGATGTAACGTTGCGAAGTACCTAGTTTAGGCTATCAACAAAGGCTATGGACTTTCATTACCCTTTGCCCAGCGATGCCTCGAGCCATCAGACGTGTTGCAGCCCACTGAGTTTTCCTTTTACACTGAAGCATGCTGCCCTGGCACGATGAATCTAGACGAAGCGTTGCCTCGTTCACCGCAGTATGACGTGATCATCGTAGGCGGCGGCACCGCCGGCTGCGTCCTCGCCGCACGCCTCTCAATTCGCGCACCAAGCCTTAAACTCCTGCTGCTCGAAGCAGGCCCCAACAACAATGAAGACAGTCTTGTGCGGACCCCGCTACCGAGCCGTCGCATGTTCGGAAACCCGAACTATGATTGGTGTCTGCGCTCAGTCCCGCAGAAAGGACTCAACGGCCGCACAATCGAGCAGACCAGAGGCAAGATGCTTGGTGGGAGCAGTGCTATCAACTCGCACTCTTTGGTATACCCGAATCGGGAGATGCACGATGCCTGGGCTAGCTTGATCGGAGACGATAGGTGGGGTTGGTCTGGGATAGAGCCGTACTACAGGAAGTTTCAGCATATCATTGGGGATGGAGGTAGTACCCAGCATGATGGACCGATCCAGGCGTCTTTCCCGCGAGAACTGAATCAGGTTCAGCTGGCATGGAATAGTGCGTTCGACGAGCTCGGAGCGACAGCTACAGGTGACATGGTGGGACAGGTAATGGGAGGATTGACTACCACGAACGCTATCAATGGCAGTGGGGAGCGAAGTCATGCTGCGATGCCTATTTGAGACTTGCTGGTTCGAATCTCACCATTGAGACCGCAGCACACGTCGAAAAGGTTGTCACTCGCAACGAAGGGTCCGATGTGATCGCAGAGGGTGTTTTTTACAGGAGAGACGAGAAGCGTGTCTTTGCGAAGGCCACCAGGGAGGTGATTCTTTGCGCCGGCGTCTTCGGCTCGCCTCAGATTTTGGAGCTCTCCGGCATAGGCCAACGAGACATACTAGAGGCAGCAAACATTCAGCCAGTGCTTGAGTTGGCGGGTGTTGGAGGTAGGTCTCACACTTTTTGACTAGATTCATACTGAGTAACTCCAGAAAACCTCCAGGACCACCTGAACTACGGTCCAAGCGTCGAGGTCCGCCCGGAGGTCGAGACGCTGGATAGCCGAAGATACGAACCATCAGTCGTGGCAGACCACCAACGACAGTACGACACCACAAGAGGCGGAGTTCTCGCGGAGGGCGCAGCTTACAGCTTCGCATACTGGCCATTGCAGCTTTTCAACGATGAGCATGAAGAACAGCTGCTACGTAGCGCAGTGGCTGCTCATAAAGCCACACATCCCGCCTCTCCCCACAATCAATACATCTACGACAGCTTACTGTCACCAGAAGCCGCAAGTGCGACAGTGTTCATGACGCGAATGGCTCGGTATGCACCGGACCTGGTCGCAGATGACGGAAAGTATGTTTCGATTATAGCGATGCTGTCCCATCCGCTGAGCCGCGGCAGCACGCATACCAGGTCTGCTGTTCCAGGAGACCCACCTTTGATCGACCCGCGGTATCTGAGCGATGACCTCGATGTCGAAGTGTTGGCGCGGCATGTCGTTCAGCTTGAGAAGCTGCTTCAGCTTAGCTCGTTCCGGGACGTTGTGTTACCGGACGGACGGCGTTTTCCAAGAACGTTCAGCAAGCCGGAACAATCAAGTGAAGACGTCAAAGAGGCGATACGTGAACACGGCGCGACGAACTATCACCCGTGCGGCACCTGTGCAATGCTGCCGGCTGACGCTGGTGGCGTGGTGGGTTCTAGCCTCCGAGTATATGGTACGCGGAATCTACGTGTATGTGATGCCAGCATATTTCCAATCATCCCTCGTGGGAATATCTTGTCCACGGTGTATGCTGTTGCCGAAAAGGCAGTGGATATGATCTTGGATGAGTGGAGTGCGTAGTTTGGCCGCGGCCATCAGCATGATACCAGCTAGGTCCGAGTAACGCCACAAGGTCCGTATGTCACCAAATTCCAGGTCTCTGTGTCCTAGATCCGATTGCAGTCATTGCCGCTGCTTTTGCAGCTTTCGACGTACTGTATGGTCCGGCGATAGGTTTCGCACAGCGAGGAAATGATGACACGACACTTCGGTGCATCGAGTTGTGCCTTCAACCATCGCTTGATTAGTCTCTGTTTCATGGCTTCCCGTGAAGCTGTTCGTGATTGGGTTCTCAACTTCTCACCAAGAATCCCAAAGAGGTAGTCGAAATTCGCCGCAATATACGACGTGAGGAAAACGTGGCCGGCTGTTATCGGACATAAACGGACATTGCGGCGGGCGTCTCGCATCCATTCTGATTCAGACGTCAGTATACTTCCAGGTTTCCGGTCACACATAAAGGATAAGCAAATGTACACCTCGACGAGAATCATTTCTCCCATTCCGCTTGCGATCAATATTGTCACTGAGACTGGGCCTGCAAGCACTTGTGCCCAGCCATGTCGCCGGAATTTAGCATTACCTCAACACAAAGGCTCAAGACTGGCTACGACATCCCGATCTTGGGATTTGGCGTGAGTCCAGACTTCAAGCAAACAGCGTAGCTACGAACGCGACTGATCATGACTTGTCCCGCAGACCGCCGGCGATGTCTCCGACAACTACCAAATGGATCCCCAAGAAGGCGAGAATGCAGTCTCCAAAGCCCTCGCCGTAGGCTACCGCCACATCGACTCCGCCCGCATGTACGGCAGCGAAAAGAGCTGTGGCGCTGGCATCCGTCGCAGCAAAGTGCCCCGCGAGCAGATCTTCGTCACATCCAAGGTCCAGTCTGGGGCTGGCTACGAGGATACAAACGCTGCTATCGATGCAGGTCTCAAGGAATCCGGATTGGAGTATTTTGATCTTTATCTGATCCATGCCCCGTATGGTGGCTCCGAGACCAGGAAAGGTGCGTGGCGCGCGATGGTGGATGCGAAGGGTGAGGGCAAGGTGAGGTCGTTGGGTGTGTCAAATTTCGGGTTGCATCATTTGCGGGAGCTGGAGGGATATATTGCTGAGCTTGAAAAGGAACGTGGTAAGGGTAAGGGTGGGGAGATTAGTGTGGGCCAATGGGAGCTGCACCCATGGTTGATGCGAAAAGAGATTGTCGCTTGGTGTCGAGAGCGCGAGGTGGTTGTCGAGGCATATTGTCCGCTTATCCGAGGACAGAGATTTGGGGAAGATTCGCTCAAGCGAGTGGCCGAGAGAGTCAACAAGACGCCTGCTCAAGTGTTGCTGAGGTGGAGTATTCAGAAGGGGTTCGTTCCGCTGCCGAAAAGCGTGACACCGGCGAGGATCGAGAGCAATGCGGATCTTTTCGACTTTGTGCTTGACGAAGCTGATATTAACGAGCTGGATACGGAGGAGTACGCGCCTTGCACGTGGGATCCTACGATGAGCTCACTCGCCGACTGAAACCAACATCAACGGAGGCTTTGGCTCTGTCATCTTCAGGGATTTCGATTCCCACTACCAGGACCGAGATCTGTACCTACTCACGATGTATGGGTGAGTTATGCCCGGTTTCTTTGTGCTGGAAGTAGCGGTCACTGATGTCGTGATAGTGGCTCAAACTGTGCCGAAGACCCCCAACAGGAATGGACTGTGAGCGACCCGGGTGTGGAGAGTTCCTGCCAAACTGCTGAGTGCGATACGAGTCATATGGGCTGCTATGTGTATGTCAGTGGAGAAGGAAGCGAGAGACGAACACGGTATTCTGGCGCTTGACGCAGAAAGAAGTGATGGAAAGTTGGCTTTTGCTTTTCAGGGGTGATGGAGGCACCGCATCTCTGCAGCAATCAAGCAACGTAGCGTACTATGCAAGGCAGTCATAGTACGTCGAGCTGACTGACAGCGCGGTACCCAAATAGCATTATATCATTGATTTGTAGCACATCATCCTTTCGAGTAGTAACAAGGTCATGCGCCGAAACCTCCTCGAGACACCTGAGTACGTCTTGGCAGGCGTTCTCCAAGTTTTTCTGGCGCGCGGGGAACGCGGAAAAAAGTTGACGGCCATCATATATCAAGTCCCAATCCAGCCGTCTTGCTTCCACTGCAGGCCAGCCTCTGCAGAAGTAAAGATGGCGGAAAGGTCGTCAAAGAAGCGAAAGCTCGACACCTCGTCTTCCGGTCCCAGAATCACTGACCCGCGCTTCGCCAACATCGAGAACGACCCACGCTACCGACTGCCCTCGAAGAAACAGAAAGTCAAGCTAGACAAGCGCTTTTCCAGCAAACTACGCGGCGAGGAGTTCAGTCGGAAATCAAAAGTCGATCGATATGGTCGGAAGATACAGAAAGACCCCGTCACGGCTCGGCTGAAGCAGAAATATGACCTCGGCGATGAGGCGAGTGACGAGAGTGATGACCCAGACGACGACGATGAGGTCCGGCAGGAATTGAAGCGGGCTGGTGGAGGGAGCAAGCCGAGAGACATTCTCAGGGAAGGTCGAGTGACCGACTCGTCCTCCAGCAGCGAGAGCTCGAGCGACGAGGACGACTCCGAGGACGACTTCGAGGAAGAAGCAGAACTTGCGCCGCAGACCAAGAACGAAATACCCGTCGGCGAAGTCACCTCGCGACTCGCCGTCGTCAATCTCGATTGGGACAACATCCGAGCTGAGGACCTTATGGCCGTCTTCTCGAGTTTCGTCCAGTCCGAAGGCAAGCTGCTCAAGGTCGCCGTCTACCCCAGCGAGTTCGGCAAGGAGCGCATGGGCCGCGAGGAGATGGAAGGCCCGCCCAAAGAGATCTTCGCCTCCGCAAACAACGCCGACAGCGATCACGAGTCCTCAGAAGACGACGACGACGAAGCAATCAAGCAATCCCTCATCAAACCCGACGACGGCACCACCGACTTCGACTCCCAAGCCCTGCGCCGCTACCAACTCGACCGCCTCCGCTACTTTTACGCCGTCCTCACCTTCTCCTCTCCTACCGCGGCAAAAGCAATCTACGACGCCGTCGACGGCACAGAGTACCTCTCGACCGCCAACTTCTTCGACCTACGCTTCATCCCCGACGACACGGATTTCTCAGAGGACACGCCTCGAGACGAGTGTGAGGGTGTCTCGACGACCTACAAGCCTACGGAGTTCATCACGGACGCGCTGCAGCACAGTAAGGTTAAGCTGACATGGGATGCGGAGGACACGAATCGGAAGGAGGCTGCTGCGCGGGCGTTTCGGACGCATGATATTAAGGATTTGGATGATGTTGATCTGGCGGCTTATATTGGGTCGGATAGCTCTGACAACGAATCAGTTGACAATACGCCGGTCAATGGTACGGAAAGTACAGCAACAACAGCAAAGGAGAACAACCGCCAAAAAACACGCTCCCTCCTCGGCCTCGCGCCCGAACAACCCACCAAATCCTCGTCCAACGACCCAACAAAACCCAAGAAAGACCGCGCCCCAGTCGGCAACGTCGAAATCACCTTCTCCGCGGGCTTGACTTCTGACACCACCAACCCCAACGATCCGAACAAGAAACGCTCCGTCTTTGCAAACACGCAAGAAGAAGCCGAGGAAACGACCATCGAGAGATACGTGCGGAAGGAGAAAGAGCGCAAGGAACGACGGCGGAATAAGGCAAAGGCTGCTCGTGGGGGAGGAGAAGACCACGATGATGGCGAAGCCGGGCTCGCTGCCGACGAACGACAACCTACTGCCGTCAGCGCAGCGCCTCCCAATAACCATGAAGACGCAGATCTAGGCTTCGATGATCCCTTCTTCACAAACGCCACCTCGTCGACCACCGCTGGGGATGCATCAGCCGAGAAGTCTAAACTCCGGAAAGAAGCCCGCCTCCAAAAGCGTAAGGAACGTGAAGCTGAAGAGGATCGCAATCAGAAGGAACGCAAGGAGCTGGAGCTGCTCATGGCCGATGATCAGGACGCCGACGGTGGTAGCAAGGCAATGCGGCATTTCAATATGAAGGAGATCTCAAAGGCGCAGAAAGATGCAGAGAAAAGGGCACGGAAGGGGAAGAAGGGCAAGAAGGACGCCGACAGCGCAAAGAACGGCGATGCGGGAGGTGATGACGGCTTCGATGTAGATGCCACAGCGGACTCGCGTTTCGGGGGTCGACTATTCAAGAGCCATGAATTCGCCATCGATCCAAGTAATCCGCGATATATGAAGACGAAGGGGATGGAGAGGGTTCTGGAGGAGGGACGGCGGCGGAGGAAGGGCGATGCTGCGCGGTAGGGTACTGTGTCAAGGTAGATCTCCCACCTATGTATGTCCCGAACGATACGAGCATTGCTCGGGAACTGGCCCAAGGTCAAGGGCCAGCTATCAACCGGGCGTCTTTCACTACACGCGTGCCGCACAAGGCAGTGCTCCTCACTCGCCCCCTAGAATCGTGTGGCGTGGCTCAAGGCGGACGTGGTGGTTTTGTGATAGTCACGATGTACTAAGGTAGCTGTACTATC